GTCATGCTTAGATACATACTACTACTACTTCAAAAATATTACTTAACAACCCACAAATAATGTTTACAATTTTGTGAAGTTTTCACTTTTGACGTGCAGTCTTACAACTAACAGTTTTTAAATAATATATAAATTCTACTACATTGGATTGTACAGCTACTTAAGCGTAAAGAGTTATTGTATGGCTACACCACACATTTTTATTTAGTAAACGTTACAACCTACTTTAGCCGGGCGTCGCGTGTATTTAAATTTACCTATTTAATTGCAACTCAAGGAAAGATCTGCCACTCTAACTTTATAATTATTTTACTTTTAACTTTGGTGATCTTTTGCTTTTGACGAGCTCATTAACAACTACAACTCTACTTCTTAAAAAGTGTGTGGCCTTACGAACCATACAGTTATAGTATATAATTTTTTTGCTAAATGCCCACTTCATCTGCCCTCTGGGCATTCGTACAAAGTAATACATAAAAATGTATACGTGTACGTGCGGGGAGTGGTACCTGGCGCCGGTGCGCTGTGCAGGCGCACCTCGACAGCGTGCGGCAGGCGGTTGAGCAGCTGCAGCGCCGAGTGCACCGCCACCAGCTTGGGTGCGGGCGGACGTGCGGGGAGTGGTACCTGGCGCCGGTGCGCTGTGCAGGCGCACCTCGACGGCGTGCGGCAGGCGGTTGAGCAGCTGCAGCGCCGAGTGCACCGCCACCAGCTTGGGTGCGTGCGTATGTGCGGGGAGTGGTACCTGGCGCCGGTGCGCTGTGCAGGCGCACCTCGACGGCGTGCGGCAGGCGGTTGAGCAGCTGCAGCGCCGAGTGCACCGCCACCAGCTTGGGTGCGTGCGTATGTGCGGGGAGTGGTACCTGGCGCCGGTGCGCTGTGCAGGCGCACCTCGACGGCGTGCGGCAGGCGGTTGAGCAGCTGCAGCGCCGAGTGCACCGCCACCAGCTTGGGTGCGTGCGTATGTGCGGGGAGTGGTACCTGGCGCCGGTGCGCTGTGCAGGCGCACCTCGACGGCGTGCGGCAGGCGGTTGAGCAGCTGCAGCGCCGAGTGCACCGCCACCAGCTTGGGTGCGTGCGTATGTGCGGGGAGTGGTACCTGGCGCCGGTGCGCTGTGCAGGCGCACCTCGACGGCGTGCGGCAGGCGGTTGAGCAGCTGCAGCGCCGAGTGCACCGCCACCAGCTTGGGTGCGTGCGTATGTGCGGGGAGTGGTACCTGGCGCCGGTGCGCTGTGCAGGCGCACCTCGACAGCGTGCGGCAGGCGGTTGAGCAGCTGCAGCGCCGAGCGCACCGCCACCAGCTTGGGTGCGTGCGTACGTGCGGGGAGTGGTACCTGACGCCGGTGCGCTGTGCAGGCGCACCTCGACAGCGTGCGGCAGGCGGTTGAGCAGCTGCAGCGCCGAGCGCACCGCCACCAGCTTGGGTGCGTGCGTATGTGCGGGGAGTGGTACCTGGCGCCGGTGCGCTGTGCAGGCGCACCTCGACGGCGTGCGGCAGGCGGTTGAGCAGCTGCAGCGCCGAGTGCACCGCCACCAGCTTGGGTGCGTGCGTATGTGCGGGGAGTGGTACCTGGCGCCGGTGCGCTGTGCAGGCGCACCTCGACGGCGTGCGGCAGGCGGTTGAGCAGCTGCAGCGCCGAGTGCACCGCCACCAGCTTGGGTGCGTGCGTATGTGCGGGGAGTGGTACCTGACGCCGGTGCGCTGTGCAGGCGCACCTCGACGGCGTGCGGCAGGCGGTTGAGCAGCTGCAGCGCCGAGTGCACCGCCACCAGCTTGGGTGCGTGCGTATGTGCGGGGAGTGGTACCTGGCGCCGGTGCGCTGTGCAGGCGCACCTCGACGGCGTGCGGCAGGCGGTTGAGCAGCTGCAGCGCCGAGTGCACCGCCACCAGCTTGGGTGCGTGCGTATGTGCGGGGAGTGGTACCTGACGCCGGTGCGCTGTGCAGGCGCACCTCGACGGCGTGCGGCAGGCGGTTGAGCAGCTGCAGCGCCGAGTGCACCGCCACCAGCTTGGGTGCGTGCGTATGTGCGGGGAGTGGTACGGCCTCGTTCCGAGGCGCACCTCGACGGCGTGCGGCAGGCGGTTGAGCAGCTGCAGCGCTGAGCGCACCGCCACCAGCTTGCGCGCAGAGCCCTCCAATGACACCTCCAGCACCAGCCGCGCCTCTGCGCCGCTCTTCTGCAACAATATTGCCATTATATTGGTATCGGCTTCCTGCATTCATTACTTTTAAACAACATAGTTGAAAGCTTTATGAAACAATTAATCAACATTGTATGAATAATGTCTGTCTAAAATATTGCAGTTGTTTGCAGTGCTTTACAAAAGTATAAAAAGTTTCTTCGTAAAATAAAGAATGTTTTGAATACTTTTTTAACGAATGTCATATTAGATAAAAATCGTCGAATTATATCGCATAGAAATCAATTGGCGTCCGTTAGTCCCGCTAAAACTCAAAAACGTCGCGACTGATTGTCATGGAAGTTTTTGTGTGTTAGCAAGAAGGTCTTAGCAAGAAGTTTTGAGTTTACTTTCAACTCCGTCGTCGATGCTTACTAAGTTACGGTCAATTCTCTATAACGCCCTTGGTTAACTACGAATGGACGAGAATTTTCTTTTTTTGTACCGCGTAAGCCACGAACCTTCTTTATGATAATCTATCACTGATTTCATTTTGTATTATGTGACTAAGAAAATCATTTTTCCAGCATGATTTAAATTTTATTTCAAATAAATAGTCACGTAACTTTATTTCGTATCTAGGTAGATCTAGAAAATAGTAACTCTCGCAAATTATAATATAACTGCCATCTTCATTTAATCATCCACGCCGCCGTTGTTCACGGCTATGAAACAATTTTTGTTCTGTTCTGTCTTTAATTTTTATGTGTGCGCGTGTCGACGAGAAGCGGGGTGTACCTGGTGCGTGACGGTTCGGAAGAAGACGCCGACGCGATCAACGCGTAGCGGATCTGGTGGTGTCCAGGCATCCAGGCGCAGCGCCAAACGGTGCGGTGCAGAACGAGCGCGTCCTCGACGCTGCCCGAACGAGAACGGCTCCGTGTCGCCGGCGCGCACGCACACCCACGAGTCGTCGGGCGCAGCCCCCGCACCCGCCACGCTCTCCCCGCCCACCACGCACTCGGCACTACCCGCGCCTCCGCACTCCCACTCCAGCTCCAGCAGTCTGCGTTACGAAATACAAACGACATGCTCAAAATTATAATATAGAGTTGTGCCCAAATATATGCACATTAAATATAAGTATAATATATAAAAGATTATATACAAAAGATTAGAACTTCACCAAAAATTCAAAAAAAAAAATATTGACTCCTAGTAGATTTGAAATAAAAATTCTCTTACAATTTGTTTTTTGATAAAAACACCTCAGTTATAATTACTGCATGCTTTGTATAACATGTGATGGTTCCAAGACTATTTAATCCTAATCAGTATAATATAAACTACGAGGGGTGATAAAAGTAATGATAATCGGTTACTTCAGGTCCGCATAAAAATCCAAAAAATATTTTTTGCTTGCTTATATACACTCTGTCAGCCTAAAAAAATCATAAATAGATCACGATTATATGATTTTTTTAGGCTAACCGGGAGATACATTCATTTGAATACGAACTGTCAAAGAGATAGCATCAACATGGAGAAAAACGAAATTAGAGCTGTCATCAAGTACCTCTGTTTGGAAAAAATGTCTTCAAAAGACATACACAGTGACTTAGTGGAAACATTGGGGGACTCTGCTCCTCCATATTCTACAGTTGCACGCTGGGCCAAGGAGTTTAAACTGGGCAGATCATCCGCTGAAGATGAACATCGCGAAGGACGCCCATCCACGTCCCTCACTGAAGACAACGTGAAAAAAGTCGAAGATGTTGTGTTGGCAGATCGAAGAGTGACCATCAGGCATGTAGCTGAGGTCACAGGGATCTCATATGGCAGCGTTCAAAGAATCCTTGCGAACGAGTTGCATATGAAAAAGGTCTCTGCGCGTTGGGTACTCAGAATGTTAACCGACGAGCAAAAGAAAAATCGAGTTGACATTTCGAGGGTCAATCTCGAAAAGTTCCAAGCAGATCAAGAAAATTTTTTGTTCCGTTTTGTGACTATGGACGAGACCTGGATCCACCATTTTGATTCTGAAACGAAACAACAATCGATGACTTAGAAGTGAGCCTCCTCACCGACGCCAAAGAAATTCAAAGTTTCAAGTTCGGCGGGAAAGGTTATGGCATCTGTTTTTTGGGACGCTCAAGGCATAATTATGGTGGAATATTTGGAACAGGGAGCCACTATTACGGGCTCTTACTACGTAGACCAAATAAGAAGATTACGGGAGGCCATTAAGGAAAAAAGACGCGGCAAACTGCGAGCTGGGGTGCTGTTTCACCAAGACAACGCACCGGCTCACAAAGCCGCAGTTACGATGGCTGCCATTCAAGAAACGGAATTCGAACTGCTCGAACACCCTCCCTATTCGCCAGATCTAGCTCCTAGTGACTTCTACCTCTTTCCTCGGCTCAAGGAACGCCGCCGAGGCAAGAAATTCGAAGACGATAGCGAAGTAATGGCCGCTGTTGAAGCGTTTTGGGAGGGTCAAGACAAAGAACTTTTTTTAAAGGGAATTTTGGGTTTAGAAAAAAGATGGACTAAATGTATTGATTTGTTAGGAGACAATGTAGAAAAATAAATTATTATTTTAACTTTAATTACCGTGTTTTATTTTCATTATAATTACTTTTGGATCACCCCTCGTAGATCTGCATTCAAACATTCGTTTTTAAAACACATGACACTTTTAATATTTATTACTTTTTTATATATATATATATATATATATATAATTTCCGACTGAAACGCACTCACAAGTTGGAACAGCACGACGGGAACCCCCTATTTTAAGTACCATGTCTAATGGCGTAGCAATGGAACTATATTAGATTATTTTTTACAAATTTTAGCAATCCTTTTATAGACTCTACTGTGGGGTGTAATTCCTACAGCTATTGATAGATGATATGAAGATCGCTATGATATGATGTAAGTACGATAAGGTAACGACTGCTTGATATGGCTGCCTGTAATGCAGAGAGCAATGATTATTCCGCATAAAATGCTTGTAGTAAGACTGCAGAGTTAACAAAATAAAAGACATATAGGTAAATATGCAATATGTGCGTTTCATAGCACAGTGCTGTAAAATAAACTGATACACATGATTGTGCAAAATACACAATGTAATGTGGAAAAGTGTCAATGAGAGACGTGTTATACGTCATCAGACCTTACTAGACTACCATCTCATTGTACAGTTAATTGTAATATATATTGTCGAGGGGCTACACTACACACTACTAAGTACATGACAACAAGCAAGTGGAGGCGCTCACTGGTCGGAAGTGGTAGGCAGCGTGGTGAACCAGAGGCGCTGGCCCGTGTCGTTGCGCAGCGCGTACGGCACGAAGGGCGCACGCCGCCGCTGCCCTGCCGGGCTGCCCTTCGGCGACGCCTCCGCCGCGCCCCCAGCCTGCAGCCACAGAACGTAACATCTCACTGTGCTGTCCAGTTGTTGCGCACGAGGCAGTAAAGCTACCGCTCGTCACCGTCACGTTCACTCACCTCCACTTGCTGCGTGCCGAGCTGCGGCGCGCAGTAGTCAGTTGTCCAGTTGCTGCGCACGAGGCGGTACAGCTCTAGCGCTGCGCTCGTCACGTTCACGTCCAGCGTCTCCGAGCTGTTCACGTCCACCTGCAAGCGCCGCAGCGACAGCGACGCCGACAACGTATACTCCCACTTTGTCTCGAACCTAATTATTATTTATAATTGCACACTTTAAGATCAAACAAATTTGTAATAAAACATTACGTAGAAAAAAATTTTAAAACGTAAGAAAATGTACAAAAATTTAAACACATTTTTTCCTACAACAAAATTTACGTGTCGGTTGATAAACACAGAGTACCTAATTTTAGTCAAACTACAAAACTTACCCGCGCAATGTTATTCCACTATGTGTATATCAAAAGAAAACGGCTAAAAATTATCGCTTTGGGATTGTAATAATGTTTTTCTCGTAGATTATTCAATTATTACTTATTAATAAAATCACTTATTTTTACCTCCCTGAACAGCTTAATATCAGTTTTTCATAATATATTCATTACAATTTGTAGCAAGCTACAACTTGCAAGGCGCTAGTTCTGAGCGGGGAACCGATTTAGCGTTGCGCGGGAGGGGTGCATACGCTTGCGCCTACGGCGGTGCCTGCCAGTCTGGTAGAATCTTTGAACGAGACGGCCGTGTCGATTAGAGGTCGCGAGTGACATAAGAATTGCTACATCGCATTATGACGGCCTCCATCGTGTTGTTTTATTTCGTTAATATACGTGACAACGAGGCTTTTTTTTGAGTTTTGAGTGACTATTTTAACTTCGATTGCCATTAATTTGCATCGACGCGTGGCTTGTGTTGTGTTTTAATATCGTGCTAAGGAATCTTGCTTTGTCGGTTGAACGCCAAACTTTGTGATCCGGGTGGAGATCGCGCTCGATTATAGTTTGTGCTAAGTGACGTTAGACTTGACGTTAGACGTTCCGATAACGACAGGCGCCCTCTAAAGTGATTGCGCCTTGTGGAGCGTGGCAACGCATTTGATTCTGCTGAACGATTACATCGGTGACGTCAGGTTACATTACACACTTTCCTACACCACTCACACATACCATTTACTTGCCCCTGACGGCGCCTTGTGGTCGACCCTACCTCCGGAATTCGGTAAGTTTGTGTTTGCTTATAGAGCCGTTATAAATTAATTATCCATAGGCCATTGGGCCCTCCCCTCGGTTGCTCGTCGAGTTGGATTACCGATGGGCCCTAATCCTGTCGACTTTTGTCGGGGTAACTGAGGGCCGTAACAAAGAACATTAATTTATAAACCAAACTTAACAGAAACTACAAAACTCTTTTAATGATATTCCGTAATAACAACTTCGTTTCACAAGTCAGATATCTTAAAAAAAACTTAGAATGTAGTATATCATAAAACCAAATTAATGAGATCTAATTTAATTATAAAACACAACCATTTATTAATGAAATACAGAGAAAGCAATAGGTAACGTTAAACGATTATAATGTTAAACAATTATAAAGTATTTGTGATGAGACCTCCAGGGCTCGAGCGCAGGCTCCCAGGCAGACAGCGTGCGGTTGTAGTAATCCACACTGAGCTGGGCGCGCAGCAGTCCGCCGCCCGCACCGCTGCCCGCACAACTCGCCACCCCGCTTCCCGCCCCGCCGCTGGGCGTCGACACCAGCACCGGGTCCGGGTACGACTCCTCCGCTTTTCTTAAGTCCTATGGCACACAAGAAAAATATTTTAGCTATATTTTGGATAGATATGTACCTGCACCACTAAACTGTAAAATGTTTTCTAAATTGCCTACTACTAAGTAAACAAATTTAAAGACTTTATTCGCATCAAAATTTATTTAACAGACTTAAATTTAGATAGAAGAAAATATTTACCTGATCCAGGTGCAGATCGGACATGGCTATCTCCAGGAGCGGCACGTCCGAGTCCAGGCAGTCGTCGATAACGCACAGCGTAACGCAGTCCGCATCCACCTGACACGTCATAATATTTTATATTAATTTTTCAGTATCTTAATCTTTAAGCACGTAATTTTAAATAATAAATAAAAATGCTATTAAGAGATGACAGAAAAAACGCTTCAAAGCCTCACTTAGAAATATTTCACTTTATCATCATCATCAACATTATTCCCCCATGGATCGCACAATGGGTATTTGCGATAATTGCCATGCAGGCAGGCTGATCAACAATCGCCATTTTTTGTTATTTAAGTTACTATTACAAAAATACCACGCCCACGCCCACGTCGCGTAATACGATAACCAAGGGAGCTATAAATCCGTGAATGATCAACCATCAGATGGATTCTGTGCTCGTTTGTCACATTTATTCTAAAAAAAGAAATCGAGGAGTGGGGTATGAAGTGGGATACGACCGTGTATACGTGTACGTAACGAAACGACTTCAAAATGGCGGAGCTCTCCCCTCCGCCAACCGCAATGCATCACAGTCCTCAATCAACGTAACGGATTCTTTAATCCTTAAGCTATGGAGTGGTGGAATTAAATATTGGATATATTATCCGTGCGGTTAAAGAATGGGATTAAAAATGACGTCATATTTATTTTCCTCTCGCTTGCACACTGTCGCTATCTACACTCACACCTGCCGGTAGATAACAAAAAAGTTCATTGTGATATACGTTTTTCGGTACATTCTATTATAACCTTAGTTCAGCTAGTCACTGGAATCAGTGGTAACAAATTCTCATAAACAAAAAAAAATCAGTCCGGTTTAGCTAATTTGAAAAATAAAAAACTCTCAGAACGCATCGTACGTTCAAGTATGTTGGTCCGATAAGATTATAAATATAAAGCTAAGGTACAATTGGTGTGACCTGCAGCGCGTTCAGTGGCCACACGGCGGAGGGTTGGGCGGGCGCAGGAGAGGGGGCAGAGGCGGGGGCGGGCGCGGGCGATCGCACCCATCGCGCCGCCAGCAGGCGCGCCGCACCCGCTGCGCTCGCCCGCATATGCACGCTGTTAGCTGGTGCGTCCGCAACTATTTCTTCTTCAGATTTACCTGTACACCAGACCATGCGATATTACCTCGGTGATGAACTATATCACCCACGACAACACACTGACTTGAGTATAATTGTCGAATTAAAGTCTTGGAAGAAACAAAACGTTTCCTTAACGACACCTCTGCATTGCACCACCAAACTCATTCAACATTCCAGGAACTTTAATTAGATTTTTGATAGGCTGTCATTTATTCATGACAACTTATTAAAAATCCAAGCCTCACCTAGTTGCGACGCTTGGCACCACACTTCGTATATCGGTAATTGCAGCTGCTGCTCGTATTATCGGAATTCAAGTCCCTAAAATGTCTTACTTTTCCTACGTGAAGATTTAAGAGACTATTAATCATATATAATAAACAATGGTAGAACCATACACATACATACATAAACATAAACACTCAAGCCTGTCACCCAGAGGGGTAGGCAGAGACTACAGACTTCCATTTGGCACGATCCTGACACACCCCTCTCGCCTGCTTCACATCCATATACCTACGCATACATGCTCGTCGGTTAAGGGTACTCATAATTTGGCCCGTTTTCAATAAATCGCTAATTTGGTCGATAAACTTCCGCCTTCCCTCCCTTCCGTCCCTTTCCGACTCTGCCATTTACTTCTGCAACATAAATTTTATTTGTCACTCTTTATTCTTTGGTAGAACCACGCGGCAGCTTTTGCTGTCGCACGGATGAGCCGGCTCGAACCGGGGTGGTATTACGACCTCACAGAATACCAGCATGAAGTAGAAGTTTACTCCTGCATTTCGCCTGGTAAGTGCAGGTTGCCTGATTACAAAATACCCCCCCTTTAACATGGTAGAGGAGTTAAAGAAAACACTACCTCTGGAGGGTACCAGCACCCCTGGTGACGTAAAGTCCACGTCAGAGTGCCACGCTATCCGTGAATTTCTGCAACATACTGATGTTGCAGAAATTCAGTAGACTTCATTCGCCTTCTCGGCTCTACGCCGTCCACTACCTTCTGAAGACGGCGAAGCTAGCCTGGCACAGGTGTATTGCAAGCGAGACATTAGTGTGAGTGACACCACACTACGGAAAAGACAATAATCCGACTTTAAAGTTTAACCGATCATACGGTTAGATCTGTTTATGACTACGCCTTGGCATATGGTCTTATACAACTGGTTAATAATAATAATAATATTTTTTTTAAATTTAATGGCGTAGGGAATTGACGACCCCATCGCCCGCTGACGTAACAGTTAAGTGACAAAACTGCTACGTCAACGCAGTCAGTCAGCGCCTTGCGAGAGGTGTGAGCGCCGTGCCTCGGCAGAATTCAGGGTGCAAATGCCCGTTTGTGCTTATGGCCGTCCCGATACGGTGCCGGGCCTGGGCGTCTCCCGTTAATGAACGCCCAAATTATGGATGATGGAAAAAAAGATAGTGCGCAAAGGGCCGCTGCCTGGAGGTCGCCAGGGCGCGTCTGGAGCTGGCGCTGGACGCGACAGCATGCGGGCCGCCAGCCGAGCGCGGGGTGTTGCAAGATCACCTAGCAGCCCCCCGCATCCATCATCCCCACCAGAAGGCTTGGTGTCGGCTGGGTCTTCTCGGATTCAGCAAGCGGCACCCGCCGCTGGTGGAGCACGTCGCATGCGTTGGTCAAAATTAATGAACGCAAACGCACTGCGGGCGTATTTTAGGGCAAAAGGGGAAGAAAGTGGAAACTGAAAACTGGTGTCTGAAGTTAGGATGATTGGGTGCGACTAAATCTAGTCCAATTTAATCCCCTTAAGACACAAGTTCGCGCGTTTACCGCTAAAAAGAACACCTTTGTCGTATCTCCTCATCACACTCCCCTCTCCCCTCGACACCTTAGCCAGTATCTGAATCTTCTTAGCTTTTCTTATTTATTAAACTAAGTTTGTATAAAAAGGGTTATTATAATATTAAGGAATTTATGGATGATAATAACCCCTGGGAGGGGTGATCGCTACCAAGCTATTTCTAACTTTTTTTGTGTTGTTAATTGTAACGTACATGATTGTAAGCTATTATTTGAAAAGAATAGTCTCGCTGGGTTACTTGCTGGTTCTTCCCAGGACAGAGGTGTTTTTTGCGAACCGGTGGTAAATGAAAAAGGTGACTTTCAATAAGTATTGTTTACAATCTATATTGAATAAAAAGTTTTTGTTTCTGTTTCTGTTTCGGCGTTGACATATCGAGTGACGTGCAATTTCGTGTCTGGCAAGAGACAGTATTTCATGCCGGTACACCGCCTGCAACTTTACAAGGCGTAAGTCCGGCTTCACATAGAATACTGTTCCCATCTCTGGGCCGGAGCTCCCCAGTGCGAGCTCCTTCCAATTGATCGCATCCAGCGCAGAGCGGTTCGAATGGTCGACGACCTAGTTCTTTCTGATCGGCTTGACTGATTAGTACTGCGGAAAGATGTTGCATCTCTTTGCGTTTTTTATCGCATCAAACACGGGGAGTGCTCTGAGGAATTCTTCAGACTACTTCCAGCCGCTCAATTTCACAATCGCCATCCTATCCATCTATAGTATCTGGATGATTGACAGTCCACCACTGTGCGATTTAGAAGAAGTTTTCTTCCTCGCACAACTTCCTTGTGGAATCGAATACCACCAGCGATTTTTTCAGACCCATACGACTTAGGGACCTTCAGAAAAGAGCCTACTCTTTTTTAAAACACAACGCATTTGGAAATCCCCTGGCGTTACAGTTGTTCATGGCGGTAGGCATTTACTATCAGGTGAGCTGCATGCTCATGCTCTCCCATAAAGTAATAATAACAAACAGATAAAATTAATCAGCCTTATAAGCGCAAATATAAACAACCGTCCCAATAATGCCTGCCACTTGGTGAGATTTTAAAACGACTTATTTCTAGCAGAGAACATAAAAACTAATAAAATTATTTAAAAAACAACCAACTTTAGTTTTGTTAACTTAACATTAGTTAAAAAAATAATTTATAGTTATACGGTAACTTACCGGAAAGCGCTGCTCTAACTTGAGCCGGCAGTGATTGCAGCATCGCAGCGAACATGCGCATGTCATGATACGACAGTCGTAAATTTAATGTTCCCATTGAAATCTAAAAAACATCCTTTGAATGAAACAAATTTTAAGGATTTATTTGCGTTCGAATTAAATTACTGTTTGTGTAAATATAAGAAATCAATATAACAAAATCTGACATCAACGCTACGATTTTCTAATATACGAAATTTTTACACCTTGACCCTTATTTATGGAAATGAGAGTTATAAAAATTTCCAAACCATCAGTAACCAGTTGCAATTATATTATCAAAAATCTACTGCTAAACATAGGCATGATGATATCCGCAGTAAAACCAGTGACCGACATAGCCCAACGGATTAGTAAGCTGAAGTGGCAATAGGCCGGCCATATAGCTTGAAGAACCGATAACTGATGGGGAAGAAAGGTTCTCGAGTGGCAGCCTCGTACCGATAGGCGTAGTGTAGGGCGACCCCCCACTAGATGGAGTGACGACCTGGTAAGACATGCAGAAAGTCGATGGATGCAGGTGGCTCAGGACCGTGCTTTGTGGCATTGCTTGGGGAGGCCTATTTTCAGCAGTGGATTTATGAAGGGCTGTAGTGATGATGATGATGAAACATAGGCCACCCCAGTATATTTTCATCGGGGGGATACTTACCATAGTTGATACGCTAGGCAAGCGTGTTGGCTACCGCAATTTTTATTTTTATTTAGCCGTTATTAAGATGATGCCGCTGCTCGTCTCCTGGTTCAGTTGTTCTCTGTTGTCTCTAACGACAGCCACGGCACGAACGGGTAGTGGATATTCATACACAGCCGCTACATGGTTTAAGCCATTGGTAAAATCATAAATAATTTCAATAAGCATTATTTACTTTGTAATCTGTATTAAAAGAAAGTTTATCTATTCAATTCTACTTTATACCTTAGAAAAAACAATAGAATTAATAATCACTTTTGTTACTAAAATCAGGTAAAAATGACGTAGAGAAAAATATTGATTTTTCGATTTTATTGCTAGGAAAATAAGCATTAAATTTCAATAAAAGGGCAGTGGTAGCTACATGCAGGCGGCGCCGCGCGTCTACGTGCGCGTGCTGCGCGGCGGGCTTCACAATGGCGAGCGCCGTCTCGTCCTCCAGGCCCAGCACGCACGAGAACAGCTCCAGCTCGCCCAGCTCGCAATAAGAGAGCAGTGGTAGTTACATGCAGGCGGCGCTGCGCGTCTACGTGCGCGTGCAGCACGGCGGGCTCCACGATGGCGAGCGCCGTCTCGTCCTCCAGGCCCAGCACGCACGAGAACAGCTCCAGCTCGCCCAGCTCGCAATAAGAGAGCAGTGGTAGTTACATGCAGGCGGCGCTGCGCGTCTACGTGCGCGTGCAGCGCGGCGGGCTCCACGATGGCGAGCGCCGTCTCGTCCTCCAGGCCCAGCACGCACGAGAACAGCTCCAGCTCGCCCAGCGCGCACTACGAGAGCCGTGGTAGTTACCTGCAGGCGGCGCTGCGCGTCTACGTGCGCGTGCAGCGCGGCGGGCTCCACGATGGCGAGCGCCGTCTCGTCCTCCAGGCCCAGCACGCACGAGAACAGCTCCAGCTCGCCCAGCTCGCAATAAGAGAGCAGTGGTAGTTACATGCAGGCGGCGCTGCGCGTCTACGTGCGCGTGCAGCGCGGCGGGCTCCACGATGGCGAGCGCCGTCTCGTCCTCCAGGCTCAGCATGCACGAGAACAGCTCCAGCTCGCCCAGCTCGCAATAAGAGGGCAGTGGTAGTTAAATGCAGGCGGCACTGCGCATCGACGTGCGCGTGCAGCGCGGCGGGCTCCACGATGGCGAGCGCCGTCTCGTCCTCCAGGCTCAGCACGCACGAGATCAGCTCCAGCTCGCCCAGCTCGCAATAAAAGGGCAGTGGTAGTTACATGCAGGCGGCGCTGCGCGTCTACGTGCGCGTGCAGCGCGGCGGGCTCCACGATGGCGAGCGCCGTCTCGTCCTCCAGGCCCAGCACGCACGAGAACAGCTCCAGCTCGCCCAGCTCGCAATAAGAGAGCAGTGGTAGTTACATGCAGGCGGCGCTGCGCGTCGACGTGCGCGTGCAGCGCGGCGGGCTCCACGATGGCGAGCGCCGTCTCGTCCTCCAGGCTCAGCATGCACGAGAACAGCTCCAGCTCGCCCAGCTCGCAATAAGAGGGCAGTGGTAGTTAAATGCAGGCGGCACTGCGCATCGACGTGCGCGTGCAGCGCGGCGGGCTCCACGATGGCGAGCGCCGTCTCGTCCTCCAGGCCCAGCACGCACGAGAACAGCTCCAGCTCGCCCAGCTCGCAATAAAAGGGCAGTGGTAGTTACATGCAGGCGGCGCTGCGCGTCGACGTGCGCGTGCAGCGCGGCGGGCTCCACGATGGCGAGCGCCGTCTCGTCCTCCAGGCCCAGCACGCACGAGAACAGCTCCAGCTCGCCCAGCTCGCAATAAGAGAGCAGTGGTAGTTACATGCAGGCGGCGCTGCGCGTCTACGTGCGCGTGCAGCGCGGCGGGCTCCACGATGGCGAGCGCCGTCTCGTCCTCCAGGCCCAGCACGCACGAGAACAGCTCCAGCTCGCCCAGCTCGCAATAAGAGAGCAGTGGTAGTTACATGCAGGCGGCGCTGCGCGTCTACGTGCGCGTGCAGCGCGGCGGGCTCCACGATGGCGAGCGCCGTCTCGTCCTCCAGGCCCAGCACGCACGAGAACAGCTCCAGCTCGCCCAGCTCGCAATAAGAGAGCAGTGGTAGTTACATGCAGGCGGCGCTGCGCGTCTACGTGCGCGTGCAGCGCGGCGGGCTCCACGATGGCGAGCGCCGTCTCGTCCTCCAGGCTCAGCATGCACGAGAACAGCTCCAGCTCGCCCAGCTCGCAATAAGAGGGCAGTGGTAGTTAAATGCAGGCGGCACTGCGCGTCGACGTGCGCGTGCAGCGCGGCGGGCTCCACGATGGCGAGCGCCGTCTCGTCCTCCAGGCCCAGCACGCACGAGATCAGCTCCAGCTCGCCCAGCTCGCAATAAAAGGGCAGTGGTAGTTAAATGCAGGCGGCACTGCGCATCGACGTGCGCGTGCAGCGCGGCGGGCTCCACGATGGCGAGCGCCGTCTCGTCCTCCAGGCCCAGCACGCACGAGAACAGCTCCAGCTCGCCCAGCTCGCAATAAGAGGGCAGTGGTAGTTACATGCAGGCGGCGCTGCGCGTCGACGTGCGCGTGCAGCGCGGCGGGCTCCACGATGGCGAGCGCCGTCTCGTCCTCCAGGCCCAGCACGCACGAGAACAGCTCCAGCTCGCCCAGCTCGCAATAAGAGGGCAGTGGTAGTTAAATGCAGGCGGCACTGCGCATCGACGTGCGCGTGCAGCGCGGCGGGCTCCACGATGGCGAGCGCCGTCTCGTCCTCCAGGCCCAGCACGCACGAGATCAGCTCCAGCTCGCCCAGCTCGCAATAAAAGGGCAGTGGTAGTTACATGCAGGCGGCGCTGCGCGTCGACGTGCGCGTGCAGCGCGGCGGGCTCCACGATGGCGAGCGCCGTCTCATCCTCCAGGCCCAGCACGCACGAGAACAGCTCCAGCTCGCCCAGCTCGCAGCGCACCGGCCGCTCCGCGTCCGCGCCGTTGTACCGCACTACCGTCGAGCTCTGCGCACACGCGCCACACAATCTAAGTTTTTTTTATGGAATAGGATGACAAACGAACACACAGTCCAGATGACTGTGTGCTCGTTTGTCACTCACATTCTATTAAGGAAAACACAGCAGCTTTAACTGCTATTTTATGCTTTAAGAGAGCGTGGTACTTCCCTAGTCAGAAACAGAAACAGAAACTTTTTTATTCAATGTAGATTATAACAATACTTATTGAAAGTCACTTTTTTAATTTATCACTGGTTCGCAAAAAAAAATCTCTGTCCTGGGAAGAACCAGCAAGAAACCCAGCGGGACTATTTTTTTTTCCAATAATAGCTTACAATAATGCTTACAATAAACAACACAAGACAAATTAGAAATAGCTTGGTAGCGATCACCCTTCCCAGGGGTTATTATCATCCATAAATTCCTTAATATTATAATAACCCTTTTTATACAAACTTAGTTTAATAACATTTTTGAACTTTGTGTATGACAAATTTTGTATATTTTCTGGGATTTTGTTGTAAAAGCGTATACATCGCCCCAAGAATGAATTACTGACACGGTGGAGTCGAGTAACTGGTACTACTAGCTTGTTTGTGTCTGTTCCTAGTATTTACAGAATGAATATCACTTATTTTCGCAAAACTACTTTTATTTTTGTGTACGTACTTTACATTTTCATAAATGTATTGAGAGGCCAAAGTTAATATATTGATTTCCTTAAATTTTTGTCTCAGTGACTCTTTTTGTTTTAAATTATATATTGCTCTAATGGCCCTCTTCTGCAAAATAAATATAATTTCAGTGTCAGTCGCGTGTCCCCATAGCAAAATACCATACGACATAATGCTATGGAAATAACTAAAGTAAACTATTCTAGCTGTTTCAACACTGGTAAGAGTTCTAATCTTTTTTTACAGCAAATGCTGCAGAACTAAGTCTGCTAGCTAGTTTTGATATATGGGGGGAGCCATTGAAGCTTTGCGTCCAGTGTGATTCCAAGAAAAATGGTGGTATCAACAAGACTCAGTTCCTCCCCATTTAAAATTACATTAGTGTTGACATGTTTAACATTAGAAATGACGAATTTCATACATTTAGTTTTAGTTCCATTCAAATGCAAATTATTAACATTAAACCAATTGACTAACTTAGCTATAGCATTATTTACTTCGTCGTAATTTAATAACTGTCGTTTTAATTTGAAAATTTAATGGAAGTATCATCAGCAAATAATACTATATCATGGTTATCCCCTACTATGTAAGGTAAGTCATTAATATATACAAGAAACAGAAAGGGGCCGAGAATTGAGCCCTGAGGCACACCCATTTGTACAATCGACCCGGAAGATCTCATACTATTGATGACAACTTTTTGCGTTCTGTCACTTAAATATGAAATAATTAATTGAAGAGCATCGCTTCTTACACCGTAGTAGTCAAGCAGTCAAGCTGACTCATTCATGATACAACCATATAAAAAAAAATAAATAATATTTATTCACTCCACAAATTTTACATCTACTTACACTATTTAAATAAAAGTAGCATCAACATTGAGAGTATTAAACTTCACCTGCCTTCCACTCTCACCATATAGCTTCAGCATGGCTCTATCACGTACGAAACAAATAAAAACCGACTTCGAGTCTTCCTCAAGGCATTCGCCTTAAATTTCTTAATATGCGAACAATCCGAATCCGTTCGTCGCTGACGTCTCTGAAATTTAAAGTGCTCGTATTTACTACGTGATCGACGTAGAAAAAAAATATCGTGAGAAATGCACGCCTGAAAAAAAGTTTTTGAAGAAAGCTATGCCAATTACTAATATGATGTCCCCAATGTAACGGCCACGTGATAAGGACAATAAAGGATGATGACAGAACAAGAAGACAATCACAAAACATTTCGACACGTAAACCCATTGATTCAATAATAAAGTATGATCGTAGATACATTTGCGTGACGTGCTTTAAATATTAAAAAAAAACTATCGCCATCTATTAGAACTAATTGGAACGACGGTATGGGCAATGAGTCGTCCTTGCCAAACGTCGAGGCGATTCGAAAACAAAATGATTTAATATATCAAGTCAATTTAATGACACTTTCCGATTTACGGAAGATATGTAATTATTTATTTACTGTATATATAAATTACGTGTCACGTTGTTTGTCCGCGATGGACTCCTAAACTACTTAACCGATTTTAATCACATGATGCACACCGTTTGCAGTTTGGTCCAACTTGAGAGATAAGATAGTTTTTTTTGCCCATGAGTGACACATAATTTTGTTTGCTAATTTAGGGATTTTTAATAGGACATAACAAAGGGTCGTCGAAAAGGGCAGAACGTCTGCCTGGCAAGCTGGTTTACTGTACTTTTTGTCATAATTCGCGAAAACATAAACGCTACAAATTATTATTTTTGCGCTCCTTTTGGCACCATTTTACGCTTAGTCCGTAGACCACAGTCCCTGAGCAGTAATACATATATCGTTACGACAGCCAGTTGCGAATTGCATCACGTAGCACGAGAATATTCCCGACGATAAGCATCAATGGCCTCTATCAAGTAATAAAATGTGTAGGCATAAAAATAGATAACGCTTAAACTATTGATGCTGCAGTACGCAACCTTATGTCAACGAATATAAAGCCTTTCCCCATTTAGAAATTGTTATCGCTATGTTATCGCTTGTTTCATAGTACTTTCCGATTGAAAGAGTGAAAATTCGGGAAACGACTACGAGCAACTGACCTACGACATTTGCGACTATGATGGACCACACGAAAAGATACACGATTTTGAACGATGCAATTATATACTTGTTATGTGTGGAAGAAAAAATTCACATCTCATCCTAATCGGCAATTTTATTCCCACTCGTACAAATATTGTCAATGTATAAACCAACTTTGTTTTGCATAAATTTTGGCTTCAAACAGAAAGTAGGACACTGGACCCTGTAGCAGTAAAAGACATAGCAATATACAGTGGCGAAGCTAGGGTTCCAAACTAGGGCAAGCCCAAGATATGGTTTTGTTGTTTTTAGCAGTTTAATAAAAATACACCAATCTTGAGCTGTCTCCACTCTTTAGTTTCATATTCAGTGCTGTCAGGGACGTGTTTAACAAATCACACAGAAAGCATACTACCGCTAGATATATGTGATTGAACACCTTCGGTGGTTTTGAAAAGAGCCGTTTGGGTTTGCTTGAGATATTTACAAATAATACAATACATGAACAAAGTACAAACAAACTATGCACAAAGTTAAAAAAGGGATGCGTGGCAGCTGTGAAACCTCGAAATTATATTTTGTTTAAGTTATATGCATAAAAGAACAGATTACGACAGGAATTAGATAGTTATAATGAGAAGATAAAGCTTTGCTAATTTTTTACCATAAAATAGTGACTATTATAATTATAATTATTCATTTTCAATTCATAATAAACCGTACAAAATGATATTTTTAAACTCATATATCACTATAAATTAGCCGATAGCGTATTTGTGCCATATAGCGTAATCTTTAGGTACCATCGTGAGAATCAACCAATTTTCGTTCGATAAAATGACTTTACGTATAGAATTAAGTAGATGGCGCCATTAAAATTTTATATACTGAAAAGTAGAGAAACCTAACTGGAAATAACTAAAGGGAGTACTATTTTTTAAAAACCTCAATACATTCTTCTGTATTCTTTTTATTTATTTAATTAAAATTTGGGCTTCACGTTAAAAAAAGATTGTAACACTTATTTCCTCTAAAATTAATTAAACCTAGGTCTCATACTTTATGCTGCTGTTCAAATTGATATTTTTAATTCGTATGGTAATATTAATATTGAGTTATTAAACCTTTAAATACGCCTAACTTAATTAAACTTTAATACTAAAGAGTCCTGTACCTATATTTAAAGTATGAAGAAATGTTTATTGAATATTAAATTTCATTTTTAAAGATTTTTACCTTTTCCTCGCCGATTAGCACTTCACCACACTTATATTCATCACAATGAAACTATTATCCTCCCATTTTCACTGAAAATCTTCGAAAAAGCATAAATTTTTAAAAAACCACAACAAAAACAAACATAAACATTGAAATGTGAAGTGAACTTGCATACGAGGGGCCCGCAACCACTTCGCTAGTCGCTAACGCACTCCTAAACAACTTCATGGCAAGGCTTGTTGGCTCAATAGTAATTGCTATATAAACATTTCGTAGTTATATTTCATTATAGAATATTTTGCCATAGGTTAGAAAGAGAGCGATCGTCTTCTCGAAAGCCCCGTAAAAAGCCCACGCGAGCGAGGGAGACAACTAATCGCTCTATTAAAACTCACTTTATGACAGCAGCAGTATCGCCACAGAGTACCTTTGTATAAACGTATCGCTAAGGCAATACGAGGTCATCGGTCGACATGTGTCGAACAGTGGATTGCGCGGGAAAATTGAAATAATTTGAAACAGTTTATGAGTTATTTTATTAGTTGATATTATTGATTGATTCAGTTTTAATAAGGCAAGCCCGGCTTTTCGGCTTTTATGGAAGCTTCGCCACTGGCAATATACTCTGACCGCGAACCACGTGGTAGTTAAACAATAAGATACCTTAAGTATGACTGCGTTGGTGTCCCAGACGGAGGCATCTTCCACTAGCACGAGCTGCGAATCGGTGATGTTAAGCTTCAGCTCGACGGGCCCGCCTTCAGTCACGCCGGCGCCGCCCCCTGAGTCCGTACAGTCGCCGCTCGCCGACATATTCGCCTCCTCTCTGAAGACAAATCATTTATACATTTAAAGTATGCCGTAATGTTTAAAAACTTATTATTATCAACTTGCCCTAGAAGCCCAGGAGATGAAAGCTCGCCTGAAACTTTAAAGCGCGCAGACTGAGTGAATCTCTTGGGGGATGCCTATGTTTAATAGTAGGTTTGTGAGACCGCAAAGGCTGTATTTATGATGACTAATACGCCGAAAGAAAATATCGAATGTCGTCCAAACAAGCTTTCGTAGTGGACGTGTTATCGGTCTATCTAATGAAATACCCGATCCGTCTCGCGATTTTATATACTAAAACAGGTGAACGACGTAGTAATCTTTGCTATTTTCCCGTGAGTGCATAGTGCGTTTTTAATAAACATTTATAATAAAACAGCTCCGTCGCGCTGCTGTTAATTTGCGGGACGACCTGCCGCAACCCCGCCGCGATAAGAGATAGTCGACATAATTGCTGTCCCACTTTCGCACCCGCTTGTGCTACTGTGCGGACCGTCCCACGTCAAACCCAGTTGTTTATAATAAACAACACTCACCATGCATCAATGCGCCGCGTGTCATTCAACGATTGACGACTACGATTTCTTAGAATGCTGCACCTGTCTACGTTTTTATCATGGCCAATGCGTTGGTGTTTCGCCCACCGAATTCGAGAGACTCTCTTCTGACACCAAGATGAGTTGGATATGCCCTGAGTGTCGTAGCAAAAAACTGCGCAATGATAATTCAAATACGCCGGTCCGTCCGTCAACACCTACGTAGTGCCCACGCTGACGCTAATGTGACATCACGCCGTGGAAAGCAGGGAACGTCCAAACAAGCGGCAATAGTCGCTGCCGTAGCCGGGCAAAGCGGCTGCTCCGGCTCATGTGTGTCGCGCGTGGAGCTGCGTACCATTATGCACGAGGAACTTCGAGGTTTCATTAAGGAAAGTATTAGGGAGATAAAAGAGGACTTAAACAGGGAATTGAAAGCTTTTAAGAACGAAGTTGGTTCTATAAAGGATTCCATAAATTTTATTAGCGACTCTTTTGACAAACTAAACACTGAAATTACTACATGTAAAAGCAACATTGAGACGATCTTAAAGGAGAAGGAATGCCTCCGGAATGAATTAAACTCTATCACCAGTCGCTTTAACCAACTCGAACAAATCTCCCGCGCCTCAAACTTGGAAATCCAATGCGTTCCAGAAAGGAAGTCTGAAAACCTATTGTCCATTGTTAAGCAACTTGGTAAAACCGTATCTTGTCTTGTAAATGAAGCGGATATATTTTACTGTTCACGTATTGCGAAAAAGAATCCTCAGAGCCCACGTCCCCGCTTAATTTTAATTAAGTTAAACAGCCCTCGCTCGCGTGATACGCTTTTGGCCGCAACTATAAAGTACAATAAACATCCATCCGCAAGATAGATTGAACACCGTGCATCTCGGCTTCGGAACAGAAAAAAAGACTGCCATATACGTAACAGAAAATCTGTCGCCTGAAAATAAGTATCTCAATGCGTCGGCGCGCGCTCGAGCTAGGGAGCTGCAGTATAAGCATGTATGGGTTCGAGGCGGCCGCATTTACATGCGAAAGACGGATACATCGGAATACATACTTGTGCGAAACTCAACAACATTGTAACGGTTATCATAAGCTAATCTAAATTTTCTCAAGCTAAGCGTACAGTTAATAAGGCTTAAAATTCAATACGTTAAACATTTACTATCAAAACGTACGCGGCCTCCGCACAAAAACCACAGAGTTTTATAATAGTGTATTAAATTCTAATTACGACGTCATTTTCTTATGCGAAACATGGCTTAACAATATTATATACGATGGCGAACTTTTTAGTGAGCGATGTATATACAGGCGCGACCGGGAGACCAGTGGCTTCCATAGTAATAAACCTGGTCCTGGTGGCGGGGTGCTCATTGCAGTATCCAAACATATCTGCTCTCGTAGGATGTCACATCTGGAAAGCGACTGTGAGGATGTATGGGTGGAATTAGAGATAGGCGGAAGAGGTAATTCCTCTGAAAACATATTATTGTGTTGTGTATATCTTCCCTCACCTTTACAAAAAAACATTCTTGATTGTTACATTGAAAATACAAACCGTGTGTTGGAATCAAATGCAAAAACATTAATTATGGACGACTTCAATTTGGGTAACATTATCTGGGATAAACGTAATACGTCTTCTCCACTCAGTTTTATAACCAAAAGCTCATTAGTACTGCTCTACTGGATTTTATTGCTCTTAATAATCTCACTCAATATAACTATATTTTAAATGACAAAGGAAGAATTCTTGATCTCGTTCTCTCCAGCACGCTGAAGGTGTGGTGCGTGGTGACTCTCTTCTGAGTAACCCCGACTCTCACCACACTCCCTTAGTTCTAACATTTTCGTGTTGTGATCCGCCAAGTTTATTGCCTAACGCTCAAAGCCAAAGATATAACTTTCATAAGGCGGACTACGATAAAATCATAGCACATTTAAATTCAGTTTCATGGGACCGTATACAATATTCATGTTCGGTTGATGTCATGGTAAGAGAATTTTATGCTATTTTAACAGACACGATTACTAAGTACGTTCGAAAATGTAAACCCTCCATAAAAAAGTTTCCAGTATGGTACACAAAGGAACTCCTAAATCTCCTCAAGGAAAAAAAACAAACTTCGTTTGAGGTACCGAAAATACAAAAATCCACTGGACGAACTTGCATTACAAACACTTAGCAAAAGATGCGCCGAATTAATAAGCACCTGTCATAAAAACTATGTCGTTGATCTGTCCAAAGTTATTCTGTCTGTTGAATCCAAAGTTATTCTGGACCTTCATAAAAAATAAAAAACGTAATAGCAATGCTTACCCTACATCCATGACCTTCGGAGATGACAAAGCAGATAATGGTGACGGCATATGCAATCTCTTTGCCTCATTTTTCGCATCGGTGTATAACACTAGCTCAGTACTGTCTGTGACCACTGTTGACCAAAGTACTTCAAATTATCGTTATAATCTGCACTTCTCACAAGATCAAGTACTCAAAACTCTTACTGGTCTAGATCGGACCAAGGGAGCTGGACCTGACGACATACCCCCTTTGTTTGTAATCAACTGCCGCGAAGCGTTATCCTTGCCTTTAACAACCATTTTCAATATGTCTTTAAAAACGGGTACTTTCCCTTCGGTCTGGAAACAGGCACGTATTGTCCCAATTTATAAATCAGGAGACGCAGGATCCGTCAAAAATTACAGACCAATATCCATATTGTTTGTCTTGGCTAAATTTTTGAATGATTAGTTTGTCCTGTTTTGGCTTGGCACATAAAACAAATAATCTCACCCCAACAATCGGGCTTTTTAACATCTCGCTCTACAGCTACAAATCTCGTTTCGTTTGTGGACTATGTCTCCAAGTCTCTCGATTCCCGCTTGTCTGTGGACACCATCTACACAGACTTCAGTAAGGCGTTTGACATTGTAGATCATAACATCTTACTTCACAAACTCTCAATTTTGGGCATCACTGGCAATCTTCTCGAATGGTTCTCTTCATACCTCAGGCAGAGAAAATCGAGAGTTGTGGTAAATGGTTACTCCTCAGAACCATTTCTACCTACGTCTGGTATTCCACAGGGTTCCCATCTCGGTCCGATCCTTTTCAATATTTTTATAAATGACTTAGCGTCTGTTTTTAAACACGCGACCTGCTTTATGTACGCAGATGACATGAAAGTGTCCTTGAAAATCAAAGACCACAGTGACTCACTCCTATTGCAAGAGGATTTGGACCGGATGTTTTTGTGGTGCATTAAGAACAGACTGTTTTTGAACCTCGATAAATGTAAAATTATAAGATTCTCAAGGTGTGTAAATGTTCCGACACCTATGTATAATATTGATGGTCATCCTTTGGTAGAAGTGGACTCTGTTCGAGATCTGGGTGTGATTCTGGACAAAAAGTTGCGGTTTCATAAGCACGTTGATGGAATTGTTACAAGGGGTCTTCAAATGTTGGGGTTCGTGTTGCGTAATTCTAAAGAATTTAAGAGGACCTCTACAAAAATATCCTTGTACAAGTCTTTAGTCCGTTCGTCCAGCCTCGAATACTGTAGTCAGGTCTGGTCTCCATTTTATGACATTTACGTGAAACGCATAGAGCGTATCCAGAAGCGTTTTTTGTGGTATCTTTCGTACCAAACTTACAAAATAAAGGATCTACCCTCATACGAAGACCGACTGACGTATTTTAAATTAAGTACCCTGCAACAGCGGAGGCTTTTGCTAGATTTCATGTTGCTACACAAAATCGTCAATGGAACCGTAGACTGTCCATACCTACTAAGTGCAATAAATTTCAAGGTACCTTTTAAGCTAGTGCGTGTCAGCCGATACGTCCCCTTTTCAGTTGAAGGCAGTAAAACTAATTTGGGTTACCACGCCACCATAAACAGGTTACAGAGGCAATATAACCAGCTCTGCAACACACGTGACGTTGATATTTTTGCTGATAAGCCTCAAAAATTCAAACGAAAAATTATGCAGTCCTTTACTTTTAACTAACATTTAGACCTAGTTTTAAGTTTATAGTTGTAAGTTTTAAAAAACATATTCGTTGTCCACATTGCATGCCGTGGCAACCTTTAATTAAGACGACACTTAGATATAAACCTTCCTGTAATTTGTAGTATTTACATTGTGTTCGTGTACTTCTTGTTGGTTGTCCTAAATAAATAAAAAAAAATATCGTGACATGTTGAGAAATCAAAAATAATTCGAGAGCATGTGAAGAATGCCAATGAACATTCGAGTAACACGGCGGAGTACGCCTTCCTTTTTTTTCTGCTCCAAAAATTAACTGGGATTTTTTGAAGAATCTAGTCATTGCCTCTCGATCCTAATCATACGCTGAAAAATAACGAGGATTTAAAAAAAAGCCACTTACAAATGGACAAGGTCAGGATCGGTAGCTGGGGCCGGTGGTTGCATAATGAATTGGTTGGCGGCTTCCCACCAGTCCAGTATAGCCATAAGACGCATGTTGTTTATCAATATAGTATACGCTGAAGAGTCCAGGCGTTTTCTGCACAGACAAAATTTTCAATAAATTTATAGTAGCGTAAAAACAAACTTCTCCCTGTCACACCTTGGAACTTCTCGATAAAATATATGAAGTAAACGAGTCATAACTAAAGTCCGCGTGTTATATCTTGACCAGGCTGAAGTTAGTCGCCTGTGGCTGCGCAGATATAGTTTTTAGGAAGACAACTGTGACAAGGAGCTGGGAGTGCGGGCGGTAACGAAGACAAGATATGCAAATACGCATATTACACGGTTACAATTACGTAAATACTCGATTATCGATTATGATTCCATTTTATTCTATATCTCTTGCATTGCTTCTTTTCATTAGCCGCCTTTACGCAAACAGTCTTTAATTAAAAATAATATACAAAAATAAATAATCTATTATACGCTTGAACCAGCAAACATAACTGCTTGTGTGATATTCCTTCTAAACCTTTTCTTTAAAATATTCTATTATATCATTCATCATTACAGCCCTTCACAAGTCCACTGCTGAACATAGGCCTCCCACAAAGTACGCCACAAAGCACGGTCCTGAGCCACCTGCATCCATCGACTTCCTGCATGTATTACCAGGTCGTCACTCCATCTAGTGGGGGATCGCCCTACACTACGCCTACCGGTACGAGGCTGCCACTCGAGAACCTTTCTTCCCCATCGGTTATCGGTTCTTCGAGCTATATGGCCGGCCCATTGCCACTTCAGCTTACTAATCCGTTGGGCTATGTCGGTCACTCTGGTTTCAGCGTTTTTCAGCACGCGGTGGCGCCACTCGGGCAGCGACTGCACGTGCACTAGTGTGCAGTAGTATGTAGTAGTGTGCAGTAGTATGTAGTAGTGTGCAGTAGTGGAGCCTTGAGGATAGGGGTGCGAGTGACCTGGCGTGCACTTTAGCCTGCACGCGGTGGCGCCACTCGGGCAGCGACTGCACGTGCACTAGTGTGCAGTAGTATGTAGTAGTGTGCAGTAGTGGAGCCTGGAAGATAGGGGTGCGAGTGACCTGGCGTGCACTTCAGCCTGCACGCTGTGGCGCCGCTCGAGCAGCGGCTGCACGTGAAGTAGTGTACAGTAGTACGGGCTGGAGTATAGGGGTTTCAGTGACCTGGCTTGCACCTCGGCCAGCACGCTGTGGCGGCACTCGGGCAGTGACTGCACGTGCATAGTGTGCAGTAGTATTGTGCAGTAGTGGAGGCTGGAGGATAGGGGTGTGAGTGACCTGACGTGCACCTCGGCCTGCACGCTGTGGCACCACTCGGGCAGCGGCTACACGTGCAGTAGTGTGCATTAGTGGAGGCTGGAGGATAGGGGTGCGAGTGACCTGGCGGGCACTTCGGCCTGCACGCTGCGGCGCCGCTCGAGCAGCGGTTGCACGTGTAGTAGTGTGCAGTAGTGGAGGCTGGAGGATAGAGGTGTGAGTGACCTGGCGTGCACTTCGGCCTGCACGCTTTGGCGTGCTCGAGCAGCGGTTGCACGTGCAGTAGTGTACAGTAGTGCGCGCTGGAGGATAGGGGTGTGAATGACCTGGCTTGCACCTCGGCCAGCACGCTGTGGCGGCACTCGGGCAGCGACTGCATTTGCAGTAGTGTGCAGTAGTATTGTGCAGTAGTGGAGGCTGAAGGATAGGGCTGTGAGTGACCTGGCGTGCACATCAGGCCTGCACGCGGTGGCACCACTGGGGCAGCGGCTGCACGTGCAGTAGTGTGCAGTAGTGGAGGCTGGAGGATAGAGGTGTGAATGACCTGGCTTGCACCTCGGCCAGCACGCTGTGGCGGCTCTCGGGTAGCGACTGCATTTGCAGTAGTGTGCAGTAGTATTGTGCAGTAGTGGAGGCTGAAGGATAGGGCTGTGAGTGATCTGGCGTGCACATCAGGCCTGCACGCTGTGGCACCACTGGGGCAGCGGCTGCACGTGCAGTAGTGTGCAGTAGTGGAGGCTGGAGGATAGAGGTGTGAATGACCTGGCTCGCACCTCGACCAGCACGCTGTGGCAGCACTCGGGCAGCGACTGCACGTGCAGTAGTGTGCAGTAGTATTGTGCAGTAGTGGAGGCTGGAGGGTAGAGGTGTGAGTGACCTGGCGTGCAACTCGGCCTGCACGCTGTGGCCCCACTCGGGCAGCGGCTGCACGTGCAGTAGTGTGCAGTAGTATTGTGCAGTAGTGGAGGCTGGAGGGTAGAGGTGTGAGTGACCTGGCGTGCACCTCGGCCTGCACGCTGTGGCCCCACTCAGGCAGCGGCTGCACGTGCAGTAGTGTGCAGTAGTGGAGGCTGGAGGATATGGGTGTGAGTGACCTTTTTTTCTTTTTATAGAAGAGGGGGCAAACTAGTATACAGTTCACCTGATGTTAAGTGACTACCGCCGCCCACGAACAACCGCAACACCAGGGGAATCGCAGGTGCGTTGCCGGCCCTTTAGAAAGGAGTAAGCTCTTTTCTTGAAGGTCCCCAGGTCGTATCGGTCCGGAAAAATCGCCGGTGGTAAATTATTCTACAGAGAGGTCGTAAGCGGAAGAAAACTCCTAGTGAAACGTACAGTGGTGGACCGCCAAGCATCCAGATAGTGTGGATGGTATTGGGAGGTTTGCCGCGTAGTGCGTTCATGAAATTTAGCGGCTGGGATTAACCCGAACAATTGTGATTAGATTATTATTGTGATTAATTAATCAAAACAATCCGACCTGGCGTGCACCTCGGCCTGCACGCTGTGGCGCCGCTCGGGCAGCGGCTGCACGATGTGACTGAATACGTTGCCCCGCCGGTTAGCTGGCTCTGCTGCGTACCGTGAGTCACTCACCAGGATCTCCTGAGAAATTCACTTTGCTTAGTGTCACTCATACAAGTGCAACATAGAATCTTTCCGTTGCATTATTTCGTAAATATTGGAAGAAAAGCTGTAGTCAACAATGAGAGTGACTTATTTTTTTTTTTGTGTAATATTGAGAAAAGATATACCTGAGAAACGAGGTCGATATCTTGGCTAAGGTCAGAATAATTTTCAATGACCAATCGTGACTTGATGAAATTTATACAAGCCAGCGGCCCGCGCGCTGCAGTCAGCCGAACGCACACGTCGTGCAGGTCCAGCTTCAGCGACCACGTCGTCCACACCGGCTGGAGTGAATAGTGCAAAAGTACCAAAATAATTACAAAGTAGGCTCTAATTAGTTACATTTTACCATGACAACTCAACATTTTTACGAATAAGTTTATGAAATTATTTTTAAGGCATAGTAAATAATTCTATTTAAGTTCTCATAAACCAGTTTTGTTTTGTTAAAAAAAATTTAAATGTTGTTTGGCGCTTACTTAGTTATTTTTGTATAGCTCAGTATCTTATTCACACAACACAGCATCTTATATTTGCGTATTACGATGTCATTACATCCATTTTCATTTTTACGCTCCCTTAGTCGTCCGTGAGCTTCACCGACAAAGGGATAAGCCACGCGCCCAAAAACTACGATTCATTTTCAAGTTATCCTCTTAACAAATATTTATTTTTGGTAATTTCATGTTGATACTCCATAAAACAAAACTAATACTCAAAACAAAAGTATATTAAACATTTATGTTTTATTACTCGGTAATAAAAAATTAGAAGCACAAAAACTTTAGGCAAAGCATGAGTGGTGTTATTTTTTGTGGTTATTACCGGCGGGTGTATGTATAGACATCGGCAGTGTGCAAAAGAGAGGTGAATATATGAGATGCAATTTATCATCCCATTCTTTATCTGCACGAATAGTAAAAAGTTATGAACTTGATAGTGAATTTGTAAAAAATTGTGGGGATCCAAATAGCGTGTGATATATCATCAGACAAAGGGTGTGTGAGTGGGGTTACCTGATGCTGTGGGGCGGGGGGGGGCGGGGGCGGGCGGCAGCAGGTCCTCGCAGGGCTCGCCCAGGTTGTGCGCGAGCACGCCGCGCACCAGCCGGTACTGCTCCGCGTCGAGCGCCAGCTCCAGGGTTGTCAGCGTGCCATGAACTGCCACGTCCGGCACTGCATATCATTTTTTTATTTAATTCATTACAATGTGGTAGAGGCATGTGAGTAGTTATCATAGAAGTTAACTATGGTAGTTAAAGAAAAAAAGACTTCCGATAAATAAGAAAGGTAGTTCATGGTTTAATTTACAAAAAAAAAATCTATGATATTTCTAGCACATAAACTTTGTGACTAACTGATAAAAACTTTTTGATTTATTGTGTGTGGTAACATAGAAAGCGTGCACCATTTATTTTTTGTATACGAGTGAGACTGAAAAAAAAATTGGTTGACCCTGCAGGCCATCCCTAGAACTTCCCGCTAATTTTAAATGCAAAGCGCTGCAAAACGCACCAAATTATGTAGCGAAATCTCGAAGTAATGTTAAAAAAAAACGTTATTTTCAAATTCTTTCTCCTTCGATATCTCACGAACGAATGAACCGATTTTTATTTTCGAAACAACATTCGACGTCATTTTTTGAGGTTAAAAGCTGATTAGTTTTTGAAATCGATCAGTAAAACCGTTTAAAAGTTATTCCAAAGAAACAGTTTTTCAAAATTAAGATTTAAGATTTCTCAAAATCTAGTCGTCCGAATGAGATCATCAGAATCATCACCAAATATCTATTCCACATTAAGATCTTTAAAACGAACCACAAACCGCATCTCGAATCGAAAGTCCAATAAAAGTTTGGCTGTATTGGATCGTGAGGGGACTTAGAAGTTTGGGATGCGTGAGGGTATGAGGATATGAGAAGGATGAGGGTGTGAGTGTGTAGGCGTAAGGAGTTTAAGGGCTGTGTAGGCGTGAGGGGTGTGGGAAGTATGAGGGATGTGAAAGTGTAAGGAGTGTAAGGAGGAGGAGTGTGAGGTGTGTTAAAATATCAGAAGTGAGGGGTGATAACGTATTGCGTGTTGTAACCATTGTGCGTGTGCGCCAGGTTGCGGCGGATGCGCAGCTCGAAGGAGGCGGGCGCGGGCAGCAGAGCAGCAGTGCGGCGGCCGGGCGCTGCACAGCGCAGCGACACGCCCTCTAGCTGCACGCTACGCTCCTCCACCAGCCCACCTGCAACACCCCCCCCCCACTCACACTCAGCAATAAACACATAACAAGCGATGATTATATCACTCGCTATCACCACAATAAATATCGGTAATCACACTATAGAAATAGTTTAAGCAAACCGATCTTGCGTGTCGACAGTCAGTATTTTTAACTGCATACGCAGCGAGAAGGAGTTTCTTTGACAAGGCATCAATACGAGGACTCCATTTTAAGCAAAAATTTACAGTGATAACAAGGGAAATTTATGATCATCACTACACAAGTCCACTGCCAAACATAGGTCTTTCCTGCCTACCTAGCGGAACGCAAAAACTGTTTCTGAGGTATTGGAAGCGACTAGATATTTTTGTTTGCTTTACAGCCTTTCTAGTTTTAACAGATTGTTTTGAATTTTTAAGATGACTTTCTATCCAGTTTTGGGCTGTTACTCTAATTCTGGAACTTCTCAATTTATCTAGAAGATAACTGAGTGATATAGAGTCAAAATCTTTACTCGTATTAAAAAATACAGTTAAAAATGGAGTTTGTGAATTCAAACTCTCAGTTATTGCTTTAAATCAATTCATAACATGCTAATAGTGTGGAACACTTTCTTCGAAATTCGCAATGTTCCGATTTTAGAATGTTAAAGGCGTTAAGAAAACAATATAATGCTTAGTACTTTTTGTTTTTCAAAAACTTTTAAGAACACAGGAATAAGTATTATTAGTCGGTAGTTTCCAACGTCTTGTTGATCTCCCTTTTTATACAAAGCCTTAACGATGGAGAATTTCATACGCCGAGCGTATCGGGTGCAGCGTGTGATCATACCGGCGACGGGGTCCTCGCGGAAGGTGTTGTGGAGGTGCAGCAGCTGCAGCTGCGCCAGCAGCGCGCGGCGGCTGCGCCCGCCCACCGGCAGCACCAGCAGCGGCGCCGCGCAGCGCACGCGCACCCGCACGCGCGCTACGCGCTCCCCGCCAGCCCCGCCCCCCGGCCCACCCCCGCCCTCGCTGCCCATCTCGCACCCGCCGCCGCTCGACACCTGCGCGCGACATCATTTCATCTATTGATATTTGATTATTGACGTGAATACGACTTTATGATGATAACAAAATCGACGGATAGGATCATAGAATTTGTTACGTTGAGTGAAGAGTATAACGGATCGCACACGGCGGGGCCGTGGGGAAGCACCCTCATTATGAGGACGTTTCGTTACGTACATGTTCTATTCACGTTCTTAACATTTAAATAACCATATGTGACTACCTGTAAAATGGCTTTGTCGAAATGTCCAATTTGTACTCATGTAACGTTTATATGTTGATGGTGTTCCAAATAAAGTAAAAAAAAACTCACGGCCACGTCCACGACACAACTACACCCCGATTTCTTTATATAAAAAGGGGCAAACGAGCATGCGTCTTATGTAACGATAAGTTAACACTGAAGCTTGTGAACAACTACAACACCAGGGGCAACGCAGGTACGTTGCTGGTTTAAAAAAAACGCGTGTGCTTATGACCACACGACTGAATTAAAATTTCTTTAGTTCCATCTGTATGTATGTATATATCTGTATATCTGTCTATATATTATGCATATATGTATAGTATATATACATATATAAATTTTTTACAAATATATAAATTTATCATCGCCTTCCTTCCATAATTTATTATTATTCACACGAAAATTCACAAGACATGAACTTCAAAATGAATTTACAATTTTATTCACTTTAAACGTAGAATATGTAATGTATTGAACAAAATATTAATTGATAAAATTGGTCAAAACGAAATAAAATTACGAAAAATAAATGTCTATGAGAAAAGAGAAAAGAAAATGTGCGCGCGCATTGCTCTCTCTTGTTTATATCCTCCACTCAACTCCGTTCGCCCGATCACGCTTCGTATCGTTACGATTTCGTCATGCCTTCGCCAGCTTACTTCCCAAGTCAAGCGTTCATAACGAAGTTTCACTTCAGAGTAAACTATTTTCTTTCTTTCTTTCTTTGATTTCTGACATATCCTACACAACCCGCTTAAAGTTATGCTCAAATTAAAAGAAATTTAAATTTGATAATCCAATTTATGGTTATAGTATAAATGGGTCGGCTCGACTGGGGAAGGACCACGCTCTCACATAATACCAACGTAAAATAGCAGCTTAATACTGCTGTGTTTCGTATGGTGAATGTAGAGATCCGGAGACCCTTTTTTACTGGAAATGAGGGATTCCATCTCAGTCCTCAGGGGTGACAATGTATCTACGTTTTTATTCTTAATCGAGGATAAATGTAAAAGTCTATGGGCCACAGCATCCACTTACCATCAGGTGGACTGTGTGCTCGTTTGTCACTCTTATTTTATATAAAAAGGTAGTTGTTGTGTAGTAGGTGCTCTTAGCAACAATATAAGTTTACTTTAATTTAACTGCTAAACATCCCGTCATCAGTATTACAGTCCGTTACAAGTACCCTTACAAATATCTATTATAATACTTAATTGACGGCAGGTGTATTACATTTATACAGATTTCTTCAGGGCATTTGACGAGGTCAATCACGAGTTACTGTGTGCGAAATTAGAGGCCTATGGAATTCACGGCAATATACTTTGTTGGGTAAGAATATTATGGTTGTAGCACAAATAGGTCGGCTCAACCGGGATAGGACCACAATCTTACAAAATTTGGTGAATGTAGAAGATCGGAAACCCTTTTTACTTGAAACGAGGCATTCCATCTTAGTCCTCAGAGGTGATAACGCATCAGCATTTTGATTTTTGATTGAGGATAAATGTGGATGTCTATGGGCCACAGCATCCACTTAACATCAGGTTGACTCTGTGCTCGTTTGTCACCTTTATTCTATAAAAAAATGGTATCTAAAGTATGTTAGCAAACCGATCGAACCGACATCAATTAATTATTGTCAGGAACAAAAGCACGTACCTTGCGACGGGCTAGTACGAATGCACGGCGCAGCAAACTGAAGTCACGTACGAAAGCCTGCAGCTCGAGGACGAACCGCCTCGTGTGCACGTAAGTCAGGGGACCCATCTCTAAGGTTAAGCTTGTCTCATATCCTGCCGTCTCAGCCTCTGATTTACTTAATCTACAAATAGTATAGAGTATACATACGAATGACGGTGTCACAATTTGACAGAAAGGCGTATAAAAGAAAAAGTTTTTTTATTGAATAATAAATATTATACATGTATCAAAAAATTATGCAGATAAGAAATGTCTACGCATATTTTCGAACAGTTTATAATAATATTATTATAATATAGAGAATATATAATTTGATGGAAATCAAGTTTTGTTGAGGTTTGTTATAGTACTTATTCGTCAATGTATTTTTTTTAATGTTCGTTACATTTGTTTTCTGTATATTTTATAACGGCGGTATAATTGGGTTGCTTTAACTGTAGAACTTCCCTAATTTTAATAAAAAAAATTCGTTCTTTTGCTGATATTAAGGTAATAAAACAAGTATATTACGCATTATGTCAGTCAATACTCACCTATTGTATAACCTCTTGGGGTGGAGCAGCTAAAACTACACTGCTACCACTGGAACGCGCTCAAAGAGCTGTATTAAAAGTTGCAACATTCCGCCCTATTCTATTTCCATCCCATCTCTTATACAAATCCTATAATGTCCTCTCAGTGCGCCAGTTATTCGTTATGAGTACGTTACTAAAACAGCACTTAAAATTGCCCTACAGATGAGAGGTCACTGATAAAAGACGCAAAGATATAGTAATTAAAACTAACATTAGAATAAGGCATTATTTCATGCATAGATTTTTTAGATTCCTCGGCCCTTTTTTGTATAATCAAGTCAACGCAATTTTGTACATATATCCATTAAAAATGGCAGACTGTAAAAAGGTAATTCGAACATGGTTACAAAATTTGTCATACGATGATACGGCGAAGTTGCTGATTGTTTTAAGTTAATTAATATCATAAGTAAATCAATGATGATATATTTTACCCAAATAACCCTTATTAGTTAGTACGTTATTCATTTTATATAAGAAACAGAAAATATTTGTTAATGTATCTTTTAGCACATACACCTGAGATACAGGTTTATCCTAGTTCAGGTGCCTGTTATTGTAGACTATTTTTAAGTTAAGACTTATTGGAATAATTTGTACAGTTTATCAAAATAAAATAAATTATTATTATTATAATAATAATAACGCAAAAACTGATGGAGCGCATAGATGATCTGAAGCAGATAATCGCTGCTTGGGGAAAACGGATTCGGCGATATACTGAGAAGTCGACTCGGTTCAACCAGAATCGTCTCTTCCAGAGTGTTTAGAAGAGGTTCTATAAATCATTGGAGCGACCAATGGTAAGTAGAACGGGCCCAGCACCAAATTAGGCCGACACTGTAGCATTTTGGCGCAGCCTGTGGTCAGAGCCCGTAAACCACAGCGAGGGCCCTTGGACGGAAGTTGTGGCGAGTCAGTGTGCGAGTATAACGCCCATGGACCCCGTCATTATAACGCCGGATGACGTGGCTGAGGTGGTCCGTAGAGCCCCGAATTGGAAAAGTCCGGGACTCGACGGGCCGCATCACTACTGGCTGAAGGGGTTTGTAGTGTGTCACACTGTGCTTGCCCGACAGTTTCAAGAGGCTCTCAACCAGAAGTTGCTCCCGAGCTTCTTCACTACTGGGATCACTCATTTGGTTCGTAAAAACCAGGATACCACAGACCAGAGCAAATACCGCGCCATCACATGTATACCAACCATATACAAGACACTACCATCCATTTTGAGCGCGAGAAGTACTAGTCACTTGGACTCAAATCAGGTGATGTCGCGCGCTCAAAATCGATGTCGGGGCTGTGGTCGTAGAACCAAGGAACTACTTCTCATTGACGCGGTCATTGGCAAAATGGTGAAAAACCACTCACTGCTAAGCCACTGCGCCACGGAGTCGTCAATCTTGGTCTTTGGCACCGACTCAAAATTACATAGGTATACATAAATTACTTTAAGAACTTAGGTAGAAAAAAGATTTATTATATTTTCTTCCCTGTTTTCTTCAGCGCTTTAATTTTTTTTGTTAAAAAGATTTTATATAAGGGTGGATTGCGCAGAAGCAGTGTGACAATACCTGTGGTAGTCCAGTAGCAGTGCATTGTGCGCCCGCGTGTGCAGACGGCGTCGCCACACGGGCGCGCGCGGCGCCAGGTCGTGCAGCGCCAGCGCGCCCAGCGTGGCACACACGCGCCGCCCGGCCCCCCGCGCCCGCTCCCCCGCGCACGCGAACGGCGGCGCGTGACACGAGCGCGCGGCACACGTCGCCACGCGCCCCAACCACCGCCAGCCACAGCGAGCGCACGCGCACCTCCGTCACAGTCGCGTGCGCAGCACCGCCCGCCCCACCCGCCTCGCACGCACCGCCCGCCGAGCCCACTCAAACAAGATTTTTATAATTAAAAAAATGACAAACAAGCACACAGTCCACATAACAGTAAATTAATGCCCATACCCATGTACATATACATTTATCCTCGATTAAGAACCAAAATGCAGAAGCGTTGTCACTACTCAGGATTAAAACAGAATGCCTCGTTTTCAGTAAAATGGGTCTCCGATTATTTATACTCACATTACGAAACACAGCAGCTTTGGACTGTTATTTTACACTGGTAATCTGTGAGAACTTGCTCTTACCCCAGTCGAGCTAACTCATTCGTATTGCAACCATAATAAAGCTTGACTCTACACCGTAAAAAACACGAGACGCTCTCACTCAAAATAACTACTAACAATAATAATGTCCTCGAGACCGCACTTCGATCACGGCGGCGTCTCAACGGAGGCTAGCCATCTAGGCAAGTCATAGTACCCGAGTGTACTGTGTTCTCATAATCCAATAAGATGGCAATCCGACACAACCGAAAAAAAATCAGGCGAAGAGGACCAACGGCTTTTAATGCTTTTCGAAGTACGAAAGTGAAAAACCGAAACAATTTTCTCACTCCGTACTACTACTGGGAATTTCTTGACAAAAACACCCAATAACTGATTTCTAGCTAGATACGAAATTTGAACCTGGGACCTCACGAACTACAACCGCATTTACGACCACTTTACCATCAAAACAGTCAAACGACTACCACAGTAATAGTAAAATACACAGTTAATGTCTTAATTTTAACGAATAAATTTTATGGCTCTGCTGTCGTCGCGCCACAAATTAAATAAAATAAAACATTGTAATTATTATGTATTGCCAGTAACGAACACATAATGTTCTGTGGTGAAACGGTCGCACAGAGTAGAGATCATCGCCAGGGAATTATAAAATGCTTCAAATAATTACTGAATGAGCTGCGTTGCAGTGCATTTTGTACGATTTCAAATATTCCTTTTACAATAGTGTGTCAATTGTATGTCAAGAAGAAAAACCATTTTTATTTTATATTTTTATAATACATTTTTGTGTTTTTTATATTATATGTTAATGTGCAGCTGTAAGTGAAATACAGGTTGCTTAATATACAAACTTAAAAATTGAAAAAATTACGGTCGAATTTCAACCACCGGCCAACCACTAGTAACAATAAATTGACGTGAAAATTTTACATATTAAGCATTTATACGTTTTTGGGCATGTATTTTGGTTTCTGATGATTGACTTAAGCCATTTTATTATATACTACAAACAGCATAAGTACAAACTAATTACCGGGCTGCGAGGACCTGGCATCAGCGGATTCCGAAGTCGGTTCGTCCCCGGCGATGCCGAAGAAATCAAGAACAGCAACCCAACTATCGATGCTTAATACCAGCTTCAGACAATTGAATTCTACCTTGGTTAGTCTGTATACCTGTGACAACACAAGATGCTTATACATTTCAAGAACTTGAACATATTATGATATACATATATTTTACTAGGATTTTCAACAGTCTCTAAATTATAATCTAAATACAAAAATATGTATCACAGCTATGAAGCAAATTTTAAAAAAAAACTGTTATCTGAAGTGGCATAACATATCTCGACCAATCAATCACCGATGGGAGGCCCCTATCCTATAAAGGCTCTAGAGTGACAGCCTCGTACGTGTAAGACAACGATAGAACGGCCCCCACTAGATAGAATAAATTAATAAACAACCATCGTTTAGAAGAAGCGCCTCTATGCAGAGATTTTGTTTTTCTATCCAGAATTTGTTACAATTACTATTACAGCCTATTAAGAGTCCACAGCTTCGCACAGGCCTACCCCAGAGATTGCTTCATTGGGAATATATATGCCACAGTTGCCACGCTCGGAAGGCAGGTTGACAACCAGCAATGTTTTAATTTTTAATTGTCATCAGGAAAACGCTGCTATCTCCTGGTTTATTTCCCCTCTGTCGCCTCTTACAATACTCGCGGGATAAGTAATGGTTAGAGGACATTCTTCCACCGCTACTACACTGCAGTTAGACTTTATTAGAATTATAGCAATTTACAATAGAATCTTGTTACCTGATCGAACTGGTCATGGAAATGCGGGTGTTGCGGGTCGCGAGTGTGCACCGACACCCACACCAGGTTGTCGTCCGTCTCGGACGAGTCGAACTTGCCAGTCGCGTCGAACGTGCCAGACATGTCGGCCTTGCCGGTCGTGTCAAACGTACCGGATATGTCAAAATTGTCGGAACTATCGAGCGCGTCGAAAATGCTAGATTTGTCAAAAGCGTCGCATGTTTCAGCGTTGTCAACCGTTTCACTGAGCGGCTCTGGTGAGCACGGGGGCGTTGCTCCACACTTGCTCTCTGACTTGCCGAGTTTATCACGCGCACGCTGTTGTGAGATTAATGTTTAAAATACTTTAATACCGAAATATCAAGACAATTTTCCTTGCATTTATTAGTATTGAATCTATCATCCCGTGTGGAAACATGTATGAACGCATCCGTTCATAAAGGAATAATACTAAACGTATATTTATAGTTACAGTGTCATAGATGATATTATTTCGTGTAAAGGCGTTTCCTTTATGAACAGATGTGTTCATAACAATAAGAACTGATCTAAAAACCAACATTAAGTCACGTGACTTTAAGTTGATTTAAATCATTTTGATAATTTTCTATGAGCTTGAACAACTGTAGTAAATCAATTTGGCTAACTCCGCTCAATAGACATATTTATAGTTAAAGTGTAAAATGGAAGAATCTATATTTTTATTTATTTTTTTATAGAAGAGGGGGCAAACTAGCATACGGTTCACCTGATGTTTAGTGACTACCGCAGCCCATGATCAACCGCAACACCAGGGGAATTACAGGTGCGTTGCCGGCCTTTTAGAAAGTACGCTCTTATCTTGAAGGTCCCCAGGTCGTATCCGTTCGGAAAAATCGCCGGTGGTAAACTATTCCACAGAGAGGTCGTACGCGGAAGAAAACTAGTGAAACGTACAGTGGTGGACCGCCAAGCATCCAGACGGTGTGAATGGTATCGCGAGGTTTGCCGCGTAGTGCTTTTATGAAATTTGACGGCTGGGATTAATCCAAGCAATTCCTCAGAGCACTTCCCGTGATAGATGCGATAAAATACCCAAAGAGATGCAACATCTCTTCGCAGCGCCAGTGAATCAAGCCAATCGGAAAGCACTCAGTCGTCGACGATTCGAGCCGCTCTGCGCTGGATGTGGTCAAGTGGAAGGAGAAGAGTACTGGGGAGCCCAGTTCAGAGATGGGATTCCATGTGCGGCCGAACTTGCGCCTTGTAAAGTTGCAGGCGGTGTGCCGGCATGAAATACTGTCCCGCTCTGCTGAACACGCCAAGCTTTTTAGAGGCCAATTTGGCCTTCTCTTCCAAGTGACCACGAAACTGCACGTTACTCGATATGTCGACGCCGAGGATTCCGATACTGGCAGAGGCAACAAGGGGAGTGCCTTGAAACTGGGGAAATACGACAAAGGATTCTTTTTAGCGGTTAACGCGCAAACTTGTGTCTTCTAAGGGTTAAACTGGACTACCGGAAAAGACGCGTTAAGACCGGTGCAAACTCTGAAGCACACGTCCTCAGCACAATTGGGGGGATACCGTCAGGTCCACTCGACTTGTGGATGTCCAGGGAGAGGAGTGCTTTGCGAACCGAGCGCTGTGTAAGCCGCACCTCCGGCATGGATCACTCACACCGCGTGATGGTCGACAGCGGACTCCCCCCGTCATCGAGAGTCAAGTTGGACGCAAAAAAAGAGCCTAGCAGATCGGCGTTGTCCTTTGCGGCATGGGCCAGTGAGTCGTCCTCCCTGTGCAGAGATGGAAGAGATGGTTGACAGAAATTCCCCTGGACAGCCTTGGCAAGAGACCAGAATGCACGGGTTTCAGAAGGAAGGCGATCTAGTTTCTCGCCAATTCTGCCTATGTGCTCTGACTTTGCCTTGGCAATGACACCTTTGAAGGACCTGGACGCGGAATTATACTTCTTTTTTAGAGCGCTGGTGTTTACATCCCGGGACGTTGATGCATTAGCCCAGGCTTGACAGCACTCCTGCTTATAGCAAGATGCTATTTTACAGGAGCGACCAAACCATGGCTGAGATTTGCCTCCGATGGGTACCACAGAGGAAGGAATAAAAAGTTCCATACCCTGAAGTAACACATCAGCGACAGAATCAGCAACAACGTTGGAATCGTCCGGCGAGAAGCAAACCCGCCTCTAAGGGTAGGATGCAAAGAAAGACCGCATCCTATCCCAATCGGCTGACCTATAGTGCCAAACACGGCGGCAGCCTGCAAAGTGCAACTGCGATTTCAGCGTGAGTGGCACCACACACCGGACAAGATAACGGTCCGAGGAGCCTAAAGGGGCGTCGACGGGAATCTGATATCCGTCCGGATAAGAGGTCAGCAGAAGGTCCAACAGGGAAGGCGTATGATTCTCCACATCTGGAATCCGCGTAGGCGAAGTAATCAGTTGTGTCAGACCATGTGCCAAAGCAAAGCATGAACAGATCTCCCCACATGATCGGTTAAACGTGAACCAAGCCACTAGGCGTGGTGGGCGTTAAAATCGTCGAGAATCACGGTCTATGCGGAGTGGATTTGCTATAGCAAAGAATCTGTAGCCCTTTGTACATAGTCGAAGAGTCGTCAATGGGACCTATAGAGGCACTCGTAGACTCGCGGATGGTCGTCGCTGTCTACGCGTAGCCAAAGGATGGACAGGTCGGAACTTTCAAGACTGCCGAGGCGTCGAGAACAGATGTCTTCTCTGACGTATATGCAAACTCCAGCCCGAGGCACAAAGGAGTGTTCTAGTTTGTACCTCGGTCAAGAGAGATACGACGCATCAGCCAGGAGAGGACACCTGCGTCTCGGTCAGAAAGAGCAGAGCCGGCCTCGTTGTTTCGAGATGGTAGTGGACGGCGTTTAGGTTAGAATGAAGTCCCCTGATATTGCAGAAATTCACGGATAGCGTGGCAGGGGTTGCCTTGGTCTTGTTGCTCCGTTTTCCCTGAGCAGTTGTTATCGTGAGCGGAATGCCCCCCCCCCCCCCGTTAGAATACGCGGACTTGGTCGTGGATGCTCAGCGAGGGATTCTTCAGGGGTGCTGGTACCCTCCTGGGGTAGATCTTTACTTAATTCCGCTACTATGTTACGCCGGTATTCTGTGAGGTCGTGGTACCTCCCCGGTTTGAGCCGGTCCATGCGTGCAACTGAATGAAAAGCTGCCGCGTGGCTCTACCACTGTTAAAGATATGTATGCAATGCAAGTACACCAGCACCAGCTTATTAATACACATTAAATTTCCAACGACGAAATCTTTACCTCTTTATTTGGCACGGAGTCAGACTTGTTGAAAGCCACGTGCAGGGAGCCAGACAAGTGCTTCGTGTACTGCAGCGAACCGAAGTCAGGGAGGTCACGAGTGCAGTGTGCGCGAAGATCAGGACACGACTTGGACAAGTAGACGGACTTGCGCGGCGCGGGCGGCGAGTGCGACACCAGCAGCATGCGGTGCTTCGAGTCCGGTTCCTTCGTCAGGTCCTCCATTGTCACCGAGTGGAGGGACACCTGAGGGATGCACACAGACCTTAATGAGGAAGACTTTATCTGCTACCAGGGAGAAACCTTAAAGTACAGTACGTTCCCGTCTAGTGGCGATGTTAGAATGTCCACCACCCCATGTGATTCCGTGGGTGATAGAAAAAGCGTCATTGGGAAACAAACCAGGAGAAGGGCAGCAGCGTCTTTCTATTAAGAACTAGAAAATAATAACTATGCGGGACCCAACTCGCCCGTCAAGCGTGGCAACTGTGGTAAATATTTCATCTGTGAGGTAATCTGTGCTGAGGCTCATGTTCAGCGGTGGACTTTGATGGACTATATCAGAACTTTAAAATAAATTGAAATATTTAACAGATTTCATGGACGAAAATATAAATTTTATAAAATAAATATAAAAGTTAATATTTCTTTCTGAAATAGTAGCCTAGTTTCCAGTAAAAAGAGTATCCGGTTCTCTACACTCACCATAGGAAGAAACAGCCTTGAGCTGCTCTTTTACACTGGTATTCTGTGAGAGCCGGGTCTTCCCCGGTTGAGCTGTGCTACAACCTAATATAGGTGCAGCGTGACACTACCATGTATAAAATATGCAGTATGCGGACAGTGTGTGGGGTGTAGAGTACAGAGTGTGATGTGCAATGTGCAGTGAGTAGTATGTAGGGTGCAGTATGTAGCGTGTGCAGCACGCGTACCTGCAGCGTTGTCTCGTGCACCTGCAGATGCTGGTAGCGTAGCGCGAACTCGCGGAACGTCAGCGCCACCAGGCTACGCTCGCCTTCACCCAGGTCCGCTCGCAGTTCCACCGCAAATGTCGACACCTCAAATGACACTGTCACACAACCATATCCAATCATCATCATTGTCATCATTCCAACCCCTCACAATTTCACTTTTGAACATAAGCCTTCACTAAGCATGTTCGATACTGAAGTCATTTACAGACAAATAATGAGTATAATATATAATAAAATTCTAAATCAAAGTTGTATAACTGCATTGGTAAGACATATAATTTTAGTTTTACAATGGTGGACCTCTTTCCTGCCCAGGAGTGTCTGGGTTGGTATCTCCCCCCTTACCTATTATATTCACTAACCAGCAGTGCATCCACTACTACGTTCTAGTGAGAATGATATATATATATATATATATATATATATATATATATATATATATATAGCTAATTTTATTACAGGCTATGAGGTATTCTGTCTTAAGCGGCATAAACGCATTTGTAGCTTGATTGTTTAAAATTTTTTTATTGATCACTGACCTCTATGGATGCTATTTAAGTTGTAAAATAATGGAGGTACGAAATATTCAAAGAATACTTATTTATTTATTTCATTTAATTATATATTATGGAAATACAATAGCTTAAAAATCTTAAGTAAATAATATGTTAATTATAAAAACCCAAATAAAGGTTCTTACTTATATCACTCGTACCTAAATAGCAAATAGAAATATTTAAGTAAAAGCAATAATTTTGATAATCTGTAAAAATATTTAATATATAAAGAATTACGGGCATCCTTAAAAAATAAATTATATTATGATATTAGTTTTAAACACAACTAGAGATTTTTAAGTAATTTCGATAGTGTAATAGTAATAAGGAGCCTGTGTTTTTATGGTAGAAAATATAACTAAAGAAAGAATAAATCCGAAGATGAACAAAACAATTAGGAGAGATGTATGATAGAGAAAAAAAAGCGAAATTAATTAAAGTATTTGATAACAATGCCTATAGTTACTAGTATAAGACAATTAACTAATTTAAGCAAAATAAATTTAAAAATATCTACAAGCCAAGCAAAGTGTTTTGACGAGAGTTATGGCGGAAACTTGACCGGAGTCGCATTGCTGCTTCCGTATTATTGTTTAAATAACGGTTTACAGTATATTTTAATACGTAAAACGGTGCTTTTTGGTGTATTAAGTCTAAATGTCTGAACTGTTAGTGTAAAAGGTGAAACAAGTGCTATGATAGTGATGTGAACCTCAAGATAATGTGTCTGCTTAGGCGCCTGGAGATACTGTCGCCATCACGTGTGTGTTGGCTCAAGCTGCCGTTTGAATCTACCATAAACTTTATAATGTTACACATCAACATATTGTGAAGAAGTTATGGAACAAAGTATTTTAAGGGATAATTTTTAATATACTTATCACTGGCAAAAGTACAACAGTATGAGTCTATAACCAAAAAACTCACATTTTATACGTGGTAGAGCCATGCTGCAATTATATTAGTAGTATAGTAGTAGCACGAATATGTCGGCTCGACCGGGGATGGACCACGCTCTCACAGAATACCAGCGTAAAATAGTAGCTTAATGCTGCTGTGTTTCGTATGGTAGGTATAGAGAACCGTAACTCTTTTTACTGGAAACGAGGCATTCCATCTTAGTCCTCACGGGTGACAACGCATCTGCATTTTGATTCGTAATCGAGGATAGATGTAGATATGTCTATGGGCCATGGCGGCCATTTGCCATCGGGTGGACAGTGCCTAAAAGGGTCTCCGGTTCTCTACACTCAACATACGAAACACAGCAGCATTACGCTGCTATTACACGCTGGTATTCTGTGAGAGCGTGGTCCTGTCCCGGTCGAGATGACCCATTCGTGCTACAACTAGTCGTATAACACAGCTACAACGTGGCTCTACGTCGTAAAAAATGTATACGCACAACAAAGTCTCAGAAAATATACAAACAATACAATATTGAGAGAACTTGTATATTTTTATTGTATAATAACCCCTCTCTAAAATTCTCTCTATTACCAAGATTAAATATTTGATTTAACATAAATTATAACCATTTATTGTATAATAACCCCTAGTATAATTTAAATGAATACATGATTGATATTTATCCTTGGGAATAAGATGGTCGCTTCTAAGCTGTTTTTAAAATAAATGTTGTAAATAGTTCGTATTACCTTTCTTATTGTATAATATACTTTGAACGAATAAGTCTATCTAAGTTTTTGATGATTTTTCTCAGGACACAGATTTTTAGCGAACTAGTGGTAAAAGTGGTAACGTAAAAATAAAGTGGGAAAATCTATATATTGAATAAAACACATTCACATTCTACGTTGAAAACGTAGCATGTTGAAACAATGAGTAAGTGACGCGATGAAGGTACGTGTACGTGCGTTTGCGTGTGGGAGCGTGCGTGTGCGAGCGTGCGTGTGCGCGTGCGTACCGGTGAGCGGCGCATGGCTGCGTGCGGGCGCGTGCGCGTGCGGGGCGCGCGGCGGCGGCACGGCCAGCACGGCGGCGCGCAGCTGCGGGTCCAGCCGCAGCGTCGGCACCGCCGGCTCCTCCAGCCCACTCGCCCGCACACCCTGCACATGCACCGCACACCTACACCTCACTTCACGCCTTTCTGTACTTACCAAACACAACTTAGCAACAACATCTACCATTGTCCTTCTCACATTTCTGAGCGTGTATGCAAACTCCACGTGTCTCCGACATCCACATTTTTTAGCTACCGAAACACTCAACAAAAACCTTGCTAAAGATAAAAAAAAATTATATTACTTGACGCGCGCTTTACAGCACCCATGGTCACGGGGGAACTTAGGACTTTGAGGAGAACGCCCTTCTTACTGTTCCTGTAAATCCAAAATTCTACAAGCGGTACGTAGACGACGCTTTCATAATTTTACCATCTGACAAAGTAATTGCATTAGTAATTTAATAAAGTCATTTAGATCACCTTAACTCCATAAACTCTAAAATACAATTCACAATAGAGTTAGAGGCAAACATTTCTTTAGCCTTCTTAGATGTTTTAGTCATCTGAAATCCTGATAACACTATTGGTCACACTGTGTATAGAAAAAAGACTCATACCAACCGATATCTAAATGGTGAATCTCACCATCATCCTTCACAGTTAGCTACCATAGGTAAATCTTTGTTTCAGAGAGCACGAGGGATCTGTGACAGAAAACATCTGGCTGCCGAGATACAGCACGTCAAGCAAGTGTTGCAAGACAACAAGCTTCGGATCCCGCGCCTACGTCACAGTGAACGAGTGAAGCCGCCCACAGTCGAGCACGCGCCTGCTGTACTACCATATGTCAGAGGAGTCACAGACAAGATTGGCTACATCTTGAAGCGAGCGTCCATTAAAACATACTACAAGCCGCCGAAGAAGATTAGTCAATTTTTACCATCCATCAAATGTAATATTCCTCTACAAGATGCAGGTGTGTACAAGCTAGATTGTGAATGTGGTCTCTCTTACATAGGTCAAACAAAAAGATCAATAAAAACCCGCGTGAAGGAACATATAGCTGACGTGAAGCACCGACGCTCCGGGAAGTCTGCAGTCTGAGAACATGTTCAAGATCGTCCCCACCATTACATTAGATTTGATAAACCATAAATCCTCGCAAAAGAACACCAATTCCTACCAAGGATGATACGCGTCGCTATTGAAATTAAAAAATATCCAAATTTCAATAGAGAAGATGGATGGGTGCTGCCATCTGCTTGGGATCCTATAATTAACAAAATTAAACCCAAACTCAAGCATACCACTGCAAGACTTAATGGAACTGAAAGCTTTGCGTAAATCGGACTAAAAATTAATATTCAAAAACTGAAGGTAGACGTCAAACATCTCACCCCCCCCCCCCCCGTGACCATGGGTGCTGTAAAGCGCCCGAAACGTCGAGAATTAAGCACTAAGTTAAAATACTTGATTAAACGCGATAAAATCCGTAAATATAGTTTTATTCAATCTTTATTTTATTATTAAAATGATTTATATACATCAAGTTTCTATTAAATATATTATACTTATAAATGTTTAACTACCTACCAAAAAGATATTCGAAAAAAGTGATTCTTTTGGAAGTAGCCCACCGCATTGACTGTTTCTCATTTTGATAATAATAATATATCTATCTCTTCAACTGCGAAAGCGAAGTCCATGTTTAACAGTCATTACAGCCCTTTACAAGTCCACTGCTGAACATACGTCACCCCCAAGGAACGCCACGAAGCACGGTCCTGAGCCACCTGCACCCATCAACTTCCTGCATCAATTACCAGGTCGTCACTCCATCTAGTGGGGGAGTCACCCTACACTAAGCCTACGAGGCTGTCACTCGAGAACCTTTTTTCTATATCGGTTGTCGGTTTTTCGAGTCATATGGCCGGCCCATTGCCACTTCAGCTTACTAATCCGTTGGGCTATGTCGGTCACTCTGGTTCTGCTGCGGATATATCCTCATTTCTGAGTTTATCACGCAGAGAAACCCCGAGCATAGCCCTCTCCATAGCTCGCTGAGCGATTGTGAGCGTCTTCATACGGCCAGTAGAGAAGAACCACGTCTCAGATTCTAAGTCATCTCTGGGAACACGCACTGGTTTTACACTACTACTGTTACTATTTTTTGTTGCCGTGTAGTGGCGGTTAAGAATATCCACTACCCCATATCTTCCCGTGGGTGTCGTAAAGGCGACAGAGGGAAACAGGCAGGAGATGGGCAGCACCATCTTTCTGATACACAACAGCAAATGTACAACAAAAACACTCCGGTTGCCAACCTGCTCGCCAAGCATGGCAACTATGGCAATATGAGCAACGGTACAAATATTTGTTTAACAGTGACTTTAATGAACAGAAAAAACTACGTATTAAGCGAGTACGATATCGTAACGTACCTGCGACACTTCAGTTGATGGCATCAGATGCGATACGTTATCTGGGTGCGTGGGCACGCGAGTGTGAGTATGAGCGTGGTGCACGTGCGGGTCGGCCAGTCCGCGCAGCGTGTCCAGCAGCTGCTCGTACTGCTCGCGCCCCGCAGACACCTGCAGCCCGCCCACCACTGCGCCGCTCACTTCACACTGCACACATACGCACACCTACTCAACCTTTTGATACTACAGAACAAGGGTGACAAACGAGCACGCAGTACACCTGATGATAAGTGGATGCTATGGCCAATGGACATCTACATCTTTCCACAGTTATGAATCAAAATGCAGATGCGTTGTCACAGATGAAATGCCTCGTTTCCAGTGAAAAGGGTCTTCAGTCCTCTAAACGCATCATACGAAACACAGCAGTATTTAGTTATTATTTTACGCTGATATTCTATTAGAGCGTGATCGTACCCCAGTCGAACCGACCCATTCGTGCTACAACCATAATATAGTTTCAGTGTGGCTCTACCACATATAAACCATATATACACACATAACCTCAAGCTCCGAACCATTTCAAAAATTAAAACTATTGCTATGTTCAAAAAAACAATGGAGACCCAATACAGCATAAACTATAAAGCGTTGCAACTCAGTCCAAAGTAACAACAGAGTATACAGAATCTGCAGGTGTTTATGGGCCGTAGCAACCACCTACTATCATTTACTACGTGATGAGAAGCCTTGGAGTCCGCCTGGGTATATCATCCTATCTATTTTTGCCACCAAGCAGCAGAGCACGAACAGCTTTTTTACAATCTGAAGGATAAAAAGAGTCAGTATATTCAGTCTGTGAAGGCATTTCACCTTTGTCTCCAAAGATTATAAAAAGCATCTATAGCCAACTTTGTAGTACATTAGCTGCAGTAGCCATTTACTATTAGGAAGACTATAAGTTGATTAAAACAACTTTTACGGATTTTATCGCGTTTTATTTATTTTATTTTTAATACCCGACGTTTCGGGTGCTTTCCAGCACCCATGGTCACGGGCTGACGGGGGACTGAGGTGACTGACGTCCCGATGTCAAAGTTAACCCGGAGTACCTTCAGCTTTTTAATTATTGTCTTTGGTCCGATCTACGCAGAATGAACTAACTGTGTTTTGAAGTCTTGCAGTGGTATGCTTGGGTTTAGTTTTATTTTTATTGATTACAGGGTCCCAAGCAGGTGGTAGTACCCAGCTTCCTTCTCTATTGAAATTAGGATATTTTTTAATTTCAATAGCCTCACGTATCATCCTTGATAAGAATCGATGTTCTTTCGCGAGGATTTGTGGTCTATCAAATCTGATGTAATGGTTGGGGCCATCTAGGATATGATCGCATGTTTCGTAACATGTTTGGTTTGGTCCTACTAAGGATGATACGTAAGGCTATTGAAATTAAAAAACTTCTTAATTTCAATAGAGAAGGAGACTGGGTACTAACACCTGCTTGGGACCCCGTAATCAATAAAATTAAAACTAAACCCAAGCATACCACTGCAAGACTTCAAAACACAGTTAGTTCATTCTGCGTAGATCGGACCAAAGACAATAATTAAAAAGCTGAAGGTACTCCGGGTTAACTTTGACATCAGGACGTCAGTCACCTCAGTCCCCCGTGACCATGGGTGCTAGAAAGCACCCGAAACGTCGGGTATTAAAAATAAAATAAATAAAACGCGATAAAATCCGTAAAAGTAGTTTCAATTAATGTATAGTGTTCGCGTAAATATAAGAAATCATTATATAAACTATAAGTTGGTTTCATACTTCAATTTCACAAAAATATGCATTATTAATCTGTCAGCTAGCTTGTCACGATAAAATAATTTAAAAAAAACTTAAAATAGTTACTTCAATTTAAAAAAAAAATTGATGTTTAGCAAGCTTGTCACGCTGTTATAATAAAGAAATACTCATACGCACGTGAGGCAAGTCATCAACTTCGTACAAATTGACGGACAATTGCAGCGCCGAGTCGTGCAGCACGGGTTTGCCGCACGACACATCGTAGATCTCGTGCATGTTCTCCGCCGTCAACTGATGGTGTTTTAACTTCTCAGTGACATCCAGCTGCAAGTGTACGTACATAAAATTTAATACGTTCGACAAAGGGCTCGTTTGATGTTATAGAACACCTCGAAAATTCATAACTGTATGTAGTGTAGTTATCAAAATAAATTCACACGCAAGCTGGGCCATGGCGGTTGGCAAGGAGCATGCAGCCAGGTGTGGGAGTATGGGTGTATACTGTGCACTCACGGTAGCGAGCGAGATGTCGCGCACGTGCACGGTGTAGAGCGTGTGCGCGGGCGGGCCGGCACGGTTGGCGAGGCGCATGCGGCCCAGGTGCGCCACCAGCACGTGTCCACTGCGTGCTGCGCGCGGCAGCACCACCACCGGCGACTGCAGCTCCACCTCCACGCTGCAGCACGCACAGTCTCACTCAACTCTCACTTTCATTTAGAATAAAAGTGACAACGAACACACAGTCCACATGATGTTAAGTGGATGCTATAGCTTTCATAGCACACTAGTAAAATAACGTGAAATATTTAACAGATTTCATGAACGTTTATATTTTTTATAAAAAAAATTATTTTTTTATAAAAAATATAAAAGTTTATGTTTCTTTTTTCAATAACAGCCTCGTTTCCAGTAAAAAGGGTTTCCGATTCTTTACACTCACCATACGAAACACAGCAGCATTGAGCAGCTAGTTTACGCTGGTATTCTGTGAGAACGCGTCCCTTTCTTCGGTCGAGCCGACCCATTCGTACTACAACAATAATATTGCTGCAGCATGGCTTAATCACGTTACAAAAAAAAATAGGAATTGCAATCCCCCAAAGCGAGATACCGCATTTTCGCGGGATGCAGCGTCATTTGAAAACCTGGAAAAGCCGTACCAAGCAAATCCCCAAAGTCATGAATTAATCAATCGCATAAATTCCATTCAAATCCGTCGCCCTCCTTTTAGCTTATCGCAACGATATCTTAGTTATTACCTCTTGATCAGCCAGTAAATATCTACTAGTGACAATTTTCCTTAATTCACGCTTTGACGTTTGAAGCACTAGACGTTTCGCACCTTCAACGCTGTGTCCTGTCGCCGATGTGAGTATTTAACATGTGCCATAACAAGATTGTTTATAAAGACATATACTTGTATACAACTGGATAGGCAGTACGAGACTAATACATTGCACACTAACTTAAGATCGATTCTTCGTAACTGCTTTGGTCGGCTGCGAGCGATCGAGAGGACTAGGTTTTTGTTTTGTAATCCTCGAATGTTGGTTTCGACAATTTAATATTGATTTTGTTTCATGTGACTTAGAACACGCTGTCATTATTTATGTGCGCACTTTGTTAACGTGATACTTAAGAGAATAATTTCTTTATTGATATTTCTATAGTTGAGTTTACATATTTGTCATAATGATATCCAATTCATTACGTGGGCCATATTAATTGGTGATGAATAGAATATTATTATTTGGGGTATCTATATCGTTTTCTCATCTGGTTGGGTTATATAAATATATAATTATAAATTAAAATGAAACGATAAATATACTTATAAAATATATTTATTCATCCTACCAAAATATCATAATAATAGTAATATGAATATTATTATTATTATGATATTTTGGTAGGATGAATAAAATTATTCTTACTATTATTAATACAAATTGTAATAAATAAAACAGTAGATCGCAGAAACCACCGATTGAGTATTAGACCACACGTCGCTGTAGCAATATTATCCTGTCGGCCGGCGATGTTCATAACTTAATTTCAACAACGATGTGCTAATGTTATTGCCTACATATGCAAATGTGTAGCGTCGACAAAGAACGGCTAATAAGTTATTTTTAATTGATATTAAACGATTATTATTATTAGTTCTATCACAGCCTAAAATAGTCCACTGCCGAACATAGGCCTCCCCTACATATCGACGCATAGGGGGATTTGCCCATAGTTGCCACATTTGACAGGCGGGTTGCGGACCGCAGTATTTTGTTATATTGAGGCGTTATTAGAAAAATGCTGCTGTCCATGTCTTGTTTCAGTTTCGCTCTGTCGCCTTTTAAGGCACTCACGTACGATATGGGGTAGTGGATGTTCTAACACCGCCACTACACGGTACATTATCATTAGTATTATACATTAATCAGTTAAACAAATGTCGGACTGTGTGTGTTGACGAGTTGTAAGGTATTGTGAGGTGTTGTAAGGTGTAGTAAAGTGTTGTGAGGTGTAGTGAGGCAGCGAGGGGACGCACGTGAGCAGGATGTGGTCGCGGCGGGCTGCGGGCGGCTCGTCGAGCGAGGCGGCGCTGTGCGTGCGCGTGCGCGTTCGCGTGCCCTCGCCCGCGCGTCCGCCGCCCAACACCTCGCCCCTGCATTCATTTTTTTATTATTTACACTTTATTACTGTGGAACTTCAATGATTATAGATAATATTTTAAAAACAATTCAGCTAGATTGCTTGCTAATACTTCCCAAAACAGAGGTGTTTTCCGAACCAGTGGAAAATTAAGCATAAGAGTGACTTTCAAAAGTATTATTTAGAATCTATGTTGAATACAAATGTTTCTATTTCTATTACATCTAAACAAAAGCGCGAACTTAATACCTTTAAGGCAGAGACAAACTGCTCCTACGTACGCAATGTATGCAACGTAATATCACATCTGAACGCTTATATTTGTATGAAAAACTATAACATTAAAAATACTTATCACATGCAACGCAATCACACTCCTCCGACGCAACGTCGATCTGTATGGAAAGGTGAAGGGGATATCTGTACACAATCCCACGCGTACGACCAGTGTGTTCCTAGAACTTACGCTTGTTGTTGTCAAAATTTAAGATGAATAGCTTATCGATTTAGTAAGGCGATACGAATGTATTCATAATATTAAATGTGTAGAATTTCGCGATGTTAAATTACGTGATATAGCATTGGAAGAGATTAATGGTGTACCTAGTGAGTACTTATCCACCTACTGCTATAATTTTTTTATAAATGTGAAATAGAGGTCGAGGCGCGATATTTAAAAAAAAATTGATTTTGTATTTTTATACCTCTTACTCGTACGTTAATATATGAAACATGAATTTATAAATATTGCGGACACATTGTATTCTATATATTAATGTATTTGTTTGTATTATATAAATCATTAATTTTAACAGAATTACTACCAAAACGTTTTCTTTGTAGCGTGGATATATTCGTTTACGAACATGAGACTAAGTAAATCATTTTTAAACTCACTCTCAGAATCAAAATACATGGTGTAAATTTGTACTCGTGCGTCCGCTAAGAAGTGACAAGAGTGGCTTAACGCAAAACGTACGTTGCATACGTAGGCAAGTGCGTACACCAACGTTGCATCGCATACGTTGCGTACGTGAAATTAGTATGTTTCTCCTCTTAGGCATTCTTCGCTAGTCAACACTGAATTGCATTGCATTACTTTAAATTTTACTAATATAGTGAATACGAAATCGTGTTTCACTCATCAAGTTCGTAGTTATATCGATACTCCATCAAATCCCTATTAATACTTAATAGGTTCCTGCAAGAAAACATAAGTTACTGACGCAGCCCACCGGACCAGTAAACTAAAGTAGCAAAGAGTAGACCACGTATTTCGAAGAACCAAAAACTGATTTAAAAAGTTTTAATAGTGGCAAACGCAGTGCTGGGTGACCTTTTAGAACTTCAAAACACCGGTATATTTATTATAAAGGTATTTGGATAAGTAGCTCAATTGTCGAAAACCGTTCATCACAGTTTGTTTGCTATCATCTAGAGAAATACATGCGATATTTTTTTTTTCTTTGAAAAATGTATTTTTTTTAAATCAAACCTTAAATAGGTAGAAGATAAAGTGCGGACCTTTTAATAAATAGTTTAGCATTTTTAATACCACACTAAAAATGCCAAACTATTTATTTCACCATTAGTTAATGAGATAATTAACCATTTGTTTATCAATTTATCCAGGTTGGTCAAGTGCTACTGCAAGTTGTATGACGGGGTTGACCTGGGGCTGCTGCAAGATATACGACGGGTATTCACATGAGTCTGCCGCATGGTATGTAAACCTGGGACTGCTGCAAGCTCAATAACAGGGAGGCACCTGGGGCTGCTGCAAGATATATAACGGGGAGACACCTGTGGCTGCTACAAGATATATGACGGGCAGACACCTGTGGCTGCTACAAGTTTTATGACGGGAACGCACCTGGGGCTGGGGTGCACGAGGCCGATGGCCATGTCTGCGGCAGCGGCGCGTATGGAGCGCGCCAGGTTGGCCAGGTACTCCTTGAATTCGGCAAGGCACGAGCGCAGCTCCCGCAGCAGCGCGCCCGAGTGCGTGTACCACACGCTGGCAACGTGCAGGGATACCGACGCGCACACCGCTGCACGACAACAAATACTCATTATTACTGCTATGCTAAATCAAGATTTGCTAGGCAAAGGCCTTCTGTTATTTCTTTGAGTTTCGGAACCCACATTTTCTAAAGCACAGACTTCACATTATCATCGCAATACTTATATAAATATATACTCTTTATACAACTTAGTAACTCAAGACTTTTTTACGTGGTAAAGCCATGCTGCAGCTATATTAGTGCTACAAGCACGAATGGGTCGACTCGACCGGGGAAGGATCACGCTCTGAAAGAATACCAGCGTAAAATAGCAGCTTAATGCTGCCTTGTTATGTATGGTGAGTGTAGAGAATCGGAAACCTTTTTTTCTGGAAACGAAGAATTCTATCTTAATTCTCATGGGTAATAACGCATCTACATTTTGATTCGTAATAGAGGATAGATGTAAAAGTCTATGGGCCACAGCAACCACTTACCATCAGATGGACTGTGTGCTCACTTATCACCCTTATCTTATTTTTTTTAAACTTACGGTTTAGGACGAACATTTATAAAGACTAGTGATCAAAGCAAATTTAGATTACACTTTCGACCATAGGCTTAGAGTATATAGACGGCCATAGTGTGCAAAGGAGAAGAAAATTCCTTATAGCAACATAGAAAAGGATAGCAAATCTCATTAGACTATAATCGATTTTGAATGGCACGTAAGAAATGAGCTCCTAGACACATTGTAATTTTTCAATCATAATAGTGGTTATTTTCATTAAGTAATTGTTTTCCCAAATCGTTACTTATTTTTTGAGTGACTGTGGTGACAATAATATAATTAATCCTGACAATTGCACATTTCACAGGTAAATTCTCATACAAAAATATAAACGCATTTTTGGCTTTGAAAGAAAAATATTTAAAATCACTGAAAATTCTTATTTAAATATTAGTTTGTAACATTTTCTTTGGATACAGTCTACTCGGTGTGACTGTTTGACCACAGACTATTACGTGTTTGACACTGGTAGTATGAATGTAAACGAACAACAAACCTATATATTATGTGTGACATTTGCAGTACAAACGTAAACAATTCATTTTATGTTACTTAATTGAATGTTTGTGTAAAACATATTAGACTTAAATTTTAGCATTCTGCACTCTTTCTTACAAATCTCACACTACTCCGTGCGCGCAATATACTTTAAAAAAGACTGCTACTGCTAAGATATGGAATCCTACGGTGTTACGGATCTCCTTTTTCAGCTCCAGCGTCCAGCAAATGAACGATCGACGCAGCCCACGTACGAACTATCATCGTTAATAATAAAGAATATTTTCTCGTCAAATATTAATGTATAGAAAATAGTTATTATTAAGGTGATACCTTGAAAATGAACCGCAGTTTTGGGCTTATTCCTTTGTCGGTGAAGCTCACGGACGACTGATGGAGTGTCAAAATGAAAGTGATGGAGTGACTTCACAATTCGTAAATTATGAGATAGCTATACCGAGCACACGCTCGGAAACAACTAAGTAAGCTCCAAACAACATTTTTATTTTTTTAACAAAACTTTGTTATGAATTAATAAATGGTTTATGAGAATTTAGATATGATTATTTACTATGCTTTAAAAATAATTTCACGAAATTATTCGGTAAAATATTGTAGTGTCATGGAGAAATGTAACTAATTAGATCATATTTTGCAATTTTTATCTGTCGAGAAAATTACATGATATCGTGTTTTTCTTTTATAAAATCTAAGATCATATAGTCAAAAATCATATACCAAAATTTTGGTTCGTAATCTATAAAACTTAAAAAAATATGTTAAATAGAAAACCACCAAATTTTCGAGGTATAACCTTAAAAGCAATGAGACGTACTTGTGGAATCGGGCGTATCGCCGGGCAGCAGGTCTCGCGTGACGGTAAACAGCAGCGCCTTGTCGTCGGGCGCGTGCGAGTGATGGCGCGGGGCGGAATCATGGGCGGGCGCGGGCGCAGGGCGGCCGGCGGCCAGCACGCGCGCGTGCAGCCCCGCGCCCTCGCACAGCGACACCACCTGCACGCCGCCCAGAGAACCGCCCACCTCCACGCGGCTCGCCGCTGCAACCACACATTTTTATGGGTAACAGTATCCTGATGTCACTTACCTGATGTTTCGTGGATGCTGAGACCCATAGACATCTACATTTATTTTAAATTACGAATTAAAATTAGTTGTCACCCCTATTTACTGAGATGCAATATATCCTACCGTACACATGTGCCAACAAGGCCGTCCGTGACTTTTTTTCCACCAGGGCGGCGCCACTTAAAAATGAGATGAAATGTTTGACAAATTACATAACGGGGTAGTTAATTTCTTAGGAATATGTAAAGGATCTGGTAAACGGTGATTATTAACCCTCATTAAAATACCATTTATGAGCAGTAAAACGGAACTCTATAAAAACTATAGTGCTGTTTTTGAAACTTGTATATATTGAAAAATTAAAAAAAGGCTTAATTTCTCCTGTTGTAATTATCCTGCCTACTGGCCATAAACATCAATAAATGCTATTCAAATTGGTTGCCTGTAAAGTCGGTTTACGGACGATAGTTTAACGCGACAACGTCATAACAAAACATTGATGAAATGACTGCATACTTTTATGAATATAATTAAATCATTGTTATTAATTTATCACTATTTTGTATGGATACAAAGGAGTGAAATGAAATTTACAATTTAATTGATAAATTTACTTTTATGCTCAAGCTGATCGTGCCTTTCGCTCGCTCGTTCAGCGCTCGCACTCCGATCGTAACGTTACAATGATCGTAATGTTACTATGAGCGTAAAGTTACTATGAGCGTAACGTTACAATGAGTCATCCTTTTTCGTGCGTACAGCCAGCGTTTATAGATTTATTAGATGTTGTCACGTCAAATTATATATATATAAGATTTACAAGTGACAGTGTTAGTGACATTTTATCTGAAGAAGAAACGAAAATAGAGCCCAAACTTAATCGGAGTATCATGCGAATGCACTGCTAAATGACTTGGTAGATAGAATTAAAAAAAAACTAAAAGTTGCTGCTCCTGTCCTTGATCTAAGCCTCGCTTTTGACAGCATAAATTTTTCTCTACTTCTGGGAAAACTAAGCTATTACGGAATTCGTGGACGAGCTCTTCAACTTTTTCAATTATACTTGCAAAATAGAAATGAGTTTGGAGTTGAAAAGTGTAAATAACAGCATGACTGAAATACAAAATTGAGACTTGCAAAGGTTCAAGTTGGCGAACCTCGGTGTTCTGTTTTGGGATCTATCATCTTATTTATTATATAAATAATTCGTATTAATGATTTCTTAAATTTACGCGAACACTACACATTGAATAAAACTATTATTTACGGATTTTATCGCGTTTAATTACTTTAATTTATTTTTATTATTATCCCGACGTTTCGGGTGCTTTACAGCACCCATGGTCACGGGGGGGACTGAGATGTTTGACGTCCCAATGTCATAGTTAGCCCGGCTACCTTCAGTTTTTGAATATTAATTTTTTTTTAATTTTTGGTCCGATTTACGCAAAACGAACTTACAGTATCTTGAAGTCTTGCAGTGGTATACTTGGGTTTGGGTTTAATTTTGTTAATTATAGGATCCCAAGCAGATGGCAGCACCCAACCATCTTCTCTATTGAAATTAGGATGTTTTTTAATTTCAATAGCCTCACGTATCATCCTTGGTAGGAATCGGTGTTCTTTTGAGAGGACTTGTGGTTTATCAAATCTGATGTAATGGTGGGTATCAGATTTGATAAACCACAAGTCCTCCAAATCTGATGTAATGGTGGGTATCAGATTTGATAAACCACAAGTCCTCGCAAAAGAACACCGATTTCTACCAAGGATGATACGTGAGGCTATTGAAATTGAAAAACATCCTAATTTCAATAGAGAAGATGGTTGGGTGCTGCCATCTGCTTGGGATCCTATAATTAACAAAATTAAACCCAAACCCAAACATACCACTGCAAGACTTCAAGATACTGTAAGTTCGTTTTGCGTAAATCGGACCAAAAATTAATATTCAAAAACTGAAGGTAGCCGGGCTAACAATGACATTGGGACGTCAAACATCTCAGTCCCCCCGTGACCATGGGTGCTGTAAAGCACCCGAAACGTCGGGATAATAATAAAAATAAATTAAAGTAATTAAACGCGATAAAATCCGTAAATAATAGTTTTATTTAATTCGTATTAAGACAACTTAACTTGTCCTGTTTGCTGATGACACTAATGCAGTTGTTTCGCCTACTGAAACTGATAGTTTAGACACAAATATAAACTTGGTTCTAAAAACTATGATAAATTGGTTTGTTGCTAATGGTCTAGTTACCAACAGTGGTAAAACAAACATAATAATATTTAGAAACAATGTAAAGAGTAGCACTTGCAAGTAGATGTTGTAAAATTTTTGGGAGTTAAAATTGATAGTCATTAAAATTGGAAGCATGAACTAGGAGACATTGAAAGCAAAATAAGCTCTGGTTACTATGTGCTGAGAAGCTTACGAGGTGAAGTAGACATTAATCATCTAAAGCTGGTATACTATGCATTGGTTGGATCTAGGCTTCGTTGTGGCATATTATATTGAGGAATGGGTTTTAAATATAATGTTCAAAAGGCCTTTATAACAGGAATCTTGTCGTGAGTACGTTAAAAAAAACTTGGGATTATGACTCTACCATGTCTTTATATACACGTCTTACTCACTAATTTTTCAAAATGCGTAAGAGATTACGAGACTATTTGGAGGTTCCCCGCCTACCGCGGATCTGTTAACACGTACAGTCTGTGTCTCTCTAAACAAAAATCCAATTAAATAGTTTGTATGGCGTTTTTCTTATTAAAATTAGTGTTAATACAAAGTTAAAGTTCACTCCCATAAACTGACGGTGAAAAAAAATAACGTAAAGTGCTAAATCAAATGTGTGCATTCGCTTACAAATTTAAATAAAAATCAAGTGTCCGTTAGTTAAAGTGAATCGAGTGTCGAGCGATTAGCTGCAAGCTGCGAGTGCTGATAACTCATGTTCTTGTTGCTAACTAGTGGCGAATCACGGACTTAGAAGCAAGCAATCACATCATTCACTCATAACTTACAAGCTTCTGTAGCTAAGTGTGCAACGACATGGACTGAACTCCGTCGATCTAAGTTTCAAATCTCAGTGAAGTTTCTTTTTTTTTAGTATTATCTGGATTGTATTTTTGTTTTTTATTCTTATTTTTTCATAATGAAATTTCATTAAAATTTTCCTAAGATTTTGGGAGGGAATTTGAAGGAAAAAATTAACACGAACTGTATAAAGAGCAGAATTATAGTTCAATAAAGGATAAATAAAAACTGTTAAAATGAATAACTCTCAAAATTGTGCCGGCTGCAAAAACTCTATAACGAATAAAGACTCTTTACAATGTATGCAATACAAGGGGAAATACGATCTGGATTGTGCAAACATCAGCCCAAAGAACTTTCGTCAAATGGAGCGAAAAAAAGAACATTGGAAATGCCCGGAATGTCTAAGCAAACTACCAAAAAAAGGAAATTCTAACACCCCTGTACGAGGCACCACGGCAACCATAGAGGGAGGAACAACCCTACGAACGGATTCATTCACCGTGTTGCATGTCCTCAAGCGTGGCAATCCCAATGTAACGGTCCGATCCAAGGTGTTAAATCCACCCCCACTCAGTAAGACGAGCAACCCAGTACAAGGTGTTGAGAACATCACCATCAACTCTTACGCGGATATTCTGAATGACTTAAAGATCTACATGAAAAATTTATTGCACGATGAAATGGACAGGGTACAAAAAGCTATCGGTAGTCTTACAAATGCCATCAAAGACCAAAACAGCCGGATTGAGCAACTAGAGGCTAGAGTTTCGATATTGGAGAGTAAGTCGGAAACCAAGCCTGCCCAAACCCATCCAATTGAGGGCATCGTAATGCAGCTGCAGGATGATATTGCGGAAAGAGATCAAACCTTACTCTCTAACGACCTAGAAATAGCTGGCTGTCCAGAAACACCCAATGAAAACTGCACCCACATTATTCTGACGGTCGCTAAGAAAATTGGTATGGAGTTGGACGATAAAGACGTCGTATCAGCAGAACGCGTGGGCCCACTTCGTCCGGCGAAACAGGACAGCACAACACCGCGCCCAAGACCTATAGCCGTGCGCCTTGCACGCCGTAATACACGGAACGGCCTGCTTCAAGCTGCGCGCTCCAGACGTAATCTCAACAGCGATGGCCTCGAATTACCTGGATCCACCAAACTGTTATATCTTAATGAACGCTTGGCAAGATTTAACCGTCAACTTCTTCAAAAAGCACGCTCCCTTGCCCGCGAAGCACAATTCAAATATGTATGGGTACGGGAGGGAAAGATATTTGTGCGCAAGGAACAAGGAAAACCGCGGATTCGGATTAGCAATGAAATGGACTTATCAAAGGTTTTTAAGTATAATGACAGCTGATATCTCTCCATCCCATACACACCAACTAACTATTTTTATGTGTTTTGGTATCGTGCAAGGAATGTATTTGATCGTTTCTTTTAAATTTACTTCCTGAAATCTGTAATTGAGACTATTTCTACACAAACAACTAGCACCTCAATCACACTTTCTAACACACCGTACACAAGCCACGTATTCATCACAAGTTTAAATATTTATTATTATCATATCAAGTTATTATATCCTAAATGGTTAGTATTAATAATAAATATCTAAGAATAGGTCTATTAAACGCCAGATCTCTGAATACTGGGCAGGATGAATTTCTTGTGGCTGTCCGTAATCACACTCCTGATATATTAGCTATAAATGAAACGTGGTTAAAAGATGGAGAAGATGAATTTGCGCCTATAATACCAAATTATAAGTTTGTGCATAGAGGTAGGCAACAAAAAAGGGAGGAGGTGTAGGCTTCTATATTAAGCAGGAAATAAATACTAAAGTACGGCAACACCCAGCGTCGTCTCTAGAGCAGATGTGGCTAGAAATTCAACTCCCGGGAGCTTCAATTGCCCTTGGCACGGCCTACAGACCTAACAGTGTTGGTGTTACAGAAATACTGGACGCTCTGAGTGAGTCCCTGAATTCAATGGCACAATGCGATTACACTTGCATACTTGGCGATTTTAACGTAGATATGACTAACAAACATTGCAATAGAGCAAAAGATATAATGCAATTCTGCTATCAACATAACCTTGAACAAGTCGTCAAAGAACCAACAAGAGTCACTGATCAGACTGAAACTATTTTAGATCTCGTCATGACTAACACTCCCTCAAGATGCAATAACATTAAAATTGTACACAATCGTTGTCTTAGTGATCATGCATTGGTGCTGTTAGATTTGGACATAAGAAAACCAAAATTTTATAAACAAGTAAAACAACAGAGATTAATAAGAAATATTAATTCCGAAGCTTTCGCAAGAGATCTGAAACTTATACCCTGGGACTCTATCTATAATCTAGAGAACGTAGACGAAATGGTTCAAACTTTCAACGCATATATGAGTCAATTATTTGATGCTCATGCACCTGCCCGTACGTTGACGATAAGGGACAAACCAAAGCCATGGATTACAGATATGTTGCTATTCATGATGAGTTTACGTGACGATGCGTTAGAAAAAGTCCAGAAGGATAAAAAATATTGTTCAAATGAATAGTACCGAACCCTTAAAAATTTAGTCACGGCAACCCGTAAATGCGAACGAAAAACTTACTTTAACCATTGTATAAACAAAAACTTAAAAGATCCGAGGTCGCTGTGGCGTAATATAAAAAATGCTGCACAAATTAAAACTACTCATTTAAATACAATTCCACACCATCTCAATGACCTCAATATTATTAATGACTATTTTCTAGACTTGCCGCCATGTGACAAACCAGAACTCAAACAAGGTTATAAAGTATGTAACGAATGCTCACACGATACCCTATTCGACCTAAACCCGACAAATGAAATAGAAATCAGTAAGATTATCAATAAAATAAAAACAAAAGCCGCAGGGCACGATAACTTAAATATTTAAATGCTCAAATTAACTTTACCTGTAACTCTCTCTATTATTACATTTATAGTAAACAAGTAGATCGAAACCAGTACATTCCCAACGCAATGGAAAAGAGCTCTAGTCAAGCCCATTCCTAAAAAGAACATAGCAAGTGAACTAAAATATCTGCGCCCTATCTCGATCCTCCCGGTGTTGTCTAAAGTCTTAGAAAAGATTATACTTTGTCAAATGCTAAATTACTTAGAAACGAATAACCCCCTACCAAAGTTTCAATCAGGGTTCAGAAAAGGGCATGGCACGGAAACTGCCCTCTTAAATGTCACTGACGATCTAACAGAGGCCTCCGATATGGGATTGAGCAGTATTATGGTGCAGTTGGATTAAATTCTCTTAAATAAATTAGAGCACTATGGCTTTTCTAAAGACACATGTAGATGGTTTCAGTCATTCCTATCTAACAGAGAACAAATTGTTGTAACAGATGGATGCAATGGTGGCAAGAAATTCTCCTTTCTACGGAAAATTGTAAGAGGAGTACCCCAAGGCTCCTTACTCAGTCCTATTTTGTTCTCTCTGTACACAGCAGACCTACCTAAGCAAATAAAACATTGTAAATACCATTTATACGTAGAGGACACCCAGCTGTATTATTATTTTGACCCCAGAGATGTTAAAGAGGCAATAAACAGAATAAATGAGGATCTCCATAATATCCAAACCTGGTCACAAAAAATGCTCTAGTATTAAACGCAACTAAATCACAAGTACTAGTTTTGGGCACAAAAAACCAAATAAAAACTATTTTAGACAGCGAGGATACGATTAAAATAGAAGATGAAACCTTGACACAAGTAAGATCCACTCGTAATTTAGGGCTTATACTAGACGGAGAGCAGAAATTTGTAGAACACATCAATAACAAGATAAGAAGTTCGTACTTTAAACTTAAAACTTTATACAAAATAAGACTGTATATTAAAGAGGACCTACGCTTTCTCTTGTGTGACTCATTGGTGTTATCACAATTGAGCTACTGCAGCTCAGTCTTTGGCCCTAAATTGTCAGCTAATACCGAAAGAGCAATACAGACACAAAATGCATGTGTTCGATACTGTTGTAATGTACCAAGAAGACAATTTATAACCCCATACTTAAATAAAAAAGGCATACTCAATATGGGCGCCAGGAGAGAATTACACTATGCTTCGATAGTCCAAAAGGTAATTTGGAACAAAAAGCCAGAATACCTTTTCGAAAAACTCACCTGGATCAAAGATATTTCCTGTCAAAGTATTCGTTCTCACACACAAATGCTACTCCACACACCCGCACACAAAACAGCAAGATATAGAAGTTGTTTCAAATTCACTGCAGCGAGAATTTGGAATGACCTCCCTCCACCCATGAGAAAGAAAATGTCAATAGATTGCTTCAAAGCCAAATATAAATTGGCTCTGTTAAAAAGACAACTCGCTGCAGAGAATTTGAAACATCCCTATGTTAAGTTTTTACATTTACGGGACTTTTTTGTCAAAAATTAATAAGGATATACACTCGCACACACACACATATACACAAACACACACGTACACACGTACACACAAACACATACACACACATAACAGTTCAAAGAAAGGAAAGTTTATTTTATATTTTCTTTTGTCTTTAATGTTTTTAATTTTTTTTTTTTGTATTTGCGATTTTATCATATTTAATTACTTTGTACGTAGTTTAAAAGTATAAGTCAGGTAAATGGGGAGCCTACTACTTTGGACTCCCGCACAACACCTCAGGGAGGAGGGAGCGACTGAAAAACAGCTCTGTATGAGATCTGTATCTCGTTACAGACAAAGCTGAGCCGTCTCCGTTTGTCTCAAATAATTTTATTTATTTTATTATACTTAATTCTTTATTTGCGCAATATGGGTACACAGATGGTGATTGACAGAGGATGACAGATGGGATTGAACGTGTTACAGTGGTCAATTTACATTGTTAATCGCCATATTTAGGCTCATGCCATGCAAAAATTCTTAATTATATGCTATAGATTAAATTAAAAATTATTATTATTAATTATAATGTTCTTTTGTTTTAACGTGAATGTAACTGTGTTTTAGAGGCAATAAATTTATTTATTATTTATTATTACTATGGATGAAAGAAATACTAGGTAAAATACAAGAAAAAAAGACTTTATGAATAATGTTAATCCTCGTCTAACTATATCCAAGCACCGCTTACAATATCAGTCGGTTCATTTAGTTAATAGGTAGTCGACATAAAAAGTTGTCTGTACAAGAGTGATTTCAAAACTTACTTGATTATTTTTTGTTGGAAAAATGCTTTTATAGTATCGATGACTTTGTTAATGATAATTTTTGATCATCTTGATATTATTGTAACATAATCCGAAATCTATTATAACTGTTTTCGACATTTATAATTTCATAACTTGACTTTGCTTGATTTGTATTGTAGGACATTATTTTATAATATTAATTGTTAAAAAAAAAGAATTTTGCTTTGCTTATGTATTGATTGGTTATAATTCTAAACGTATTTTACACAATGTACATTGTTCTGAATAAATTGATTTGATTTGATACCTTTAGGTAAGTAATTTGTAAACAGGACGTCAAATATCAGTTGCCGTCAAAAGACAGTTGGAAATATATAAACCCGCCAGGCCGGTGGGGGTGGGAGTAGGATGGCGTCCGTGCGTACTGTTAGGATGTCTCGCCTTAGGTCCTTTTTTAAAAATAAACCTGCAAAACTAATTTAATAAAATTACACATCAGAATTTAACAAGTTTTAAGAAAGTTGTGTACCGAACCGAAAGGTTAGACTTTGACTTAGAGATAAATCATTTAAAAAAAATATACTGTACACAGTGCTTGCAATAGCAATTACTTCCTTAAACATCTATTTATAACAACACAATTCTAAACATGAATACTGATTTTCATATCGCACTTAACGAGAATGGCAGGGTTACATATTGTATATTGTATGAAAGTACTCACTTAAAACTATCTCTATTTCCTACAACTATTCTTCAATAGGCATGCTGGAGGAAATTTTAACATGGTATAAGTAGTGCCACATATTATGTTCTTTTTATCATTTTCCTATCAAAGTATGTGTGAACTATAAAAAATACAATGGGCGGCTGTGCACTTACCGAGTGTTGCCTGTATGCGCGCCTCGCTGACGGTGGCTGTGGCGATCTTCCTTGCCACCAGCGCGCCCTCGTGCACAGCAGCACGCAGCAGCAGCACGCCTAGCCGGTGGAAGTCGAACGTGATCTCCGTGCGCACTTCGCGCTGCGGATCGACCAGCTTCATCAATATTACCAACAAATACTACGAATGTATATTAACAATGACCTCCAAACCGAATTTCGGTCACGGAGACTAGCCATCTGTGCAGGTCACTATTATATTTTGCGAGTGTATGCGCAAGCACAGGTACATTCTCAATTTCCTCACTCTAATAGTCCAATCTTACATCAATCCCACACAACCGGAGACTTCGGGCGCAAGACTGACGGCTTTACGTGCTTTCCAAAGCACGGGGTAAAGCACCGCTAACTTCCTGATACCGGGCTGGTTGTGAGAATTTCTTACAGAAAACCCCAATAACTGAATTTGGCAAGATCCGAAGTTCAAACCCGGGGCTTCATAATTAACAATCGTGTTTACGACCACTAGAACAACGAGGCAGTCAACCCTGTGACTTTATTTCACAACGCCATGAGTTAAATGTGATGGTCAATTTTGCTAATAGAAATTTCATACATCCATCTCAAAGGACCTAAATGTGGTCCTGTTGTAAAATTCATTGAATAATATTTGTATTAATATTTCATTATCATTAAAGCCTATCAAAGTCCACTACTGAACAGTCGATGCTCGGCAGACCAATTGACAAGAGTATTTTTTTAATTTTATTAGGAAGATCTTGCTGCCCATCTATTTACATGTTTTCCTCTGTCGCCTTTTATGAATTCACTGGATTTTATGGGGTAGTGGAAATTGTTTCACCGCCACAAATTCAAGGCGTATTTTTTATTTACAAGATAAGATTTGAAAACATAAGCGCATTAAAACAAACATAGACTGTTAGGATTACCAACGATTGATACATTATTAAATCTTTAAAGAAAATTTACGGAAGTCTTATTTTTAAATGTACAATCACCTAAAGGTAATCACAGCAGGCTATTCATTTACAATTTAGTACAAGTAACGTAACCAAAAGAATCCTTCATTTTTGAAAACTTCGATATTGAGTGTGTGTGTGTGTGTGTGTGTGTGTGTGTGTGTGTGTGAGTGTACGTGTGTGCACGCAGTGTTAGTATATGGTGTGTGTTTGTGTATGTGTGTGTGTGTGTGTGTGTGTGTGTGTGTGTGTGTGTGTGTGTGTGCGTGTGTGTGTGTGTGTGTGTGTGTGTGTATTACATTAGTAATCAACAATTAAGTACACGATCTGTGCTTTCGCAATGTTTGAAGTACTTACATAAATTCTTATAAAACTGACATGTGGAATCAAAATGAACATCAACAATAACACTACATTCATTAAAAATTTTAGAAGCCTTGCGACACACGAATGCGAACCGAGAATTGTTCTTTGACGTGATGCGTAAAGAACTATACTTGATTTGCGAGAAGTTTTAATTGGTAGTGCGAAACTTAAATTGGATGAGATGCTGTGAACAACCAAAATCATTTCTAGGCTCATTAAAAAGCATATTAAAAAGTGATGCATAACGTGATATTTTCAGTGCTCTTCCAACGGAATATGCAAGATGCCACATAAAGCGTTTTTGAACTCTCTCCAATCGCAACGAATGTGTAGAATAGTGTGGACGCCAGATAACACTGGAGTACTCCTGATAAGGCATTTGTACAATATATTTTTTAATTTTAGGGTTTTTAAATGACCTACAATTTCTTAAAACAAATTTTTATTATAATAAGTACCAAGGTCCCTCTTATCACTTCTACTTGTATTTTATTACTCTATATATAGTAATTATTATTGATGAATTTAGAATTCCTTGTAAATGTGACTTGTGAACATCTGGAATAATTAAGATTCATGCCGTTAAGATTACACCAATATATAAATCTATTTAAATATATCTGTAACAATACTGAGTCTTTTATAGATTTGATTATTCGTTCAAATTTTAAAACATCTACATACATGTAGGATTCCGAAAATTGAAAGCAACCAGAAATGTCATTTATAAACAGTTTAAATAAAATTGGGCCTGAATTTGAGCCCAGAGGAAATGATGCGATTACCAGATTGAAATCCATTCATAACTACGTAAAAAGATCGATGTATTAATCAATGAATATGGATAAAAATACTAGAGTAATACCTGCGGCAGATCCGACTGGTCAATGTGATCATTGTGGTCTGTGTCTTCAATGTCGTCAATGTGGTCGATGTGGTCGGTATGGTCATTCTGTTGTTGGGCCTGTGGTTGCGTTGAAGCACGCACGTCTGGTTGGGCCGCGCCGGATACGCGATGCGCGAACCCGATCAGCTCCACTATCGTCTCCTGGTTCGCTGTAGAAACATACCACAACACTCTTTTGCACCTAATACATACAGATGAATCCCTGAAACACATCTAATATTGCTTCTGGCCTTGTTCTGTACGAAAACATAAAAGGACATATCACGCCATTCCATCCAGTGGCTGTCGTAAAAGGTTAATTCAGAAATGCAAGGATGAGCTTTAGATAAAATTTTAGATGTGGTAGAGCCATGCTACCGTAACATTATGTATGTAGCACGAATTGGTTGGTCAATGAGCCACAGCAGCCACTTAGAATCAGGTGGACTGTTCGCTCTTTTGTCCCTCATTCTATAAAATGGCGGTTTTACTAAATAACTAAACATTTATCTGGTATTGCTGATCTTGTAATTCTGTCTGCTATGTACGCATGATTGAAAATGATCGCAACATTAGAAAAGATGTATTAACTGTTCTAAACGTCAAAAGAAAACTAGGACCTTAAAGCAAAGTTAGCTCAAATCTTTTTAGTACATTCAACTTTATTGGACCCATTTACTAGATATGTTGAAAAACAAAAGACACACAGTATGTGTGTGTCGTTTGTTCATATCGTCACGTATTTCCACATATTTTATAAAGATTGTCATTCTGGAAGATATAAAATTTTACTAACCAATAACGTCTAAGTTGTTAAACAAAATATTTGCGATTCTCAAATCTTCCGAGTCTCCTTCTCCCTTCACCAGGCAAATTTCAACGGCTATGAGCGCTTCTGAATCCACGAGTCCTGGTGCGCTCCAACCATTCCCAGCACCCCATACCGTTCCTTCTTTTCTCGCCGCATTTCCATCGGATGCCACTCTATCAAAACTCCATCCGCTGCCATTGGGATACGTTGACCCAGCTGTCAAATATTCAGTGCTGGTAGAATTCCAGGTGGCACCAGTCATCCAATTAGCAGTAGGACTTATTCGTCCCGCCTCCGGAGCGTCTGTAAAAATATGCTTCAATTGTGTATCATTAAAACATAAATCCTTGTGATTTTCATATTTTTCGTAAATAAAATATAAAATGCAGCCATTTTATATTTTATTCGGTATTCATCATCATCATCATTTAGCATAATTACATCATCATTACAGCCCTTCACAAGTCCACTGCTGAACATAGGCCTCCCCCAAGCAATGCCACAAAGCACGGTCCCGAGCCACCTGCATCCATCGACTTTCTGCATGTCTTACCAGGTCGTCACTCCATCTAGTGGGGGGTCGCCCTACACTACGCCTACCGGTACGAGGCTGCCACTCGAGAACCTTTCTTCCTCAATTACCTTAACCTTTATTACCAATGCCTTGGTATATAATTTGCGGCTCTAAGGTCAGCGGGTTCAAAACAGGTACGAAACAAATATTTTTTGTATAATCTACAAATAACTGATCCGGGTCTGGATGTTTGTTTTTGTGCAATTCATGTTTGTAAACTTTCTCCACGGGAGGCACATAGAGGAGAAAATCTTAGTGTGGGGATAACGTCTTATTTTTAACTTTGAAAATTTATGGAGTAATGTATTTCAAAGTAAGAGCATCGTATCGTAACAAGCAGTGTGTGTTTGTATGTGTGTATGTGTGTGCGTGCCTGCGTGCGTGCGTCTCGTGTGTGTGTGTGTGTGTGTGGATGTGTGTGTGTGTGTGTACCTTGTGCGCCCCGCTGTAGAGAGTAGATAGCGTGCCGCAGAGCATGCGGCGTGGGGGCCAGTGGGGGCGGCGTGCGCGAGTCGGGCGACGCCGGCGACGTAGGCGAGGTGGCCGATGTGGGCGACGTGGGCTCTGATCCACGGATGCTGCCTGAAGCTATGTCCATACTGCAATTTATTTCGTTTCATGAAAATTAACATTATGTACCGCAACTACCAAAAATAAAAATAACTAACTAAATAAAATAAAAAAAAATTCTGCTGTATAAATCAAAAATTTCTATATAATAAATTAATATATTGCGTGTCAAGTTACGGTCCATTCTCCGTCACTACTTTAGTACGTAGTACTATTATGTATTTAAATAATACTAGTTTTTACGGATTCTATTGTGTTTATTTAACTTTTTAAATACCCGACGTTTCGAGCGCTTTACATGCATGGTCACGGAGGGGACTGAGATTTTCAACGTTCAAATGTCATAGTTACCCGCTCAACATCTCAGTCCCCCCCCCCCCCGTGACCATGGGTGCTGTAATGTGCATGTGTGTTCGCGTAAATATAAGAAATCATTACTATTATGTATTCTGTGTATTTAGTCAACTGCGTGCGAGTGAAAAGACTAGTTCTTATTTTTGTTTCTTTTTGCGACACCAACACTGATTCTGTTTAATGAGACTACCGAAAACGTTTGCAGTTTACTTCAGATCAAGTTTGCAGTTTATTTCAGATAAGTAATAAGCTTTGTTTCGTATTGCCTAGAAACAGTAACTGTCACAAATGAGAATAATGTAGGATTTATGACGTAGGTAATCAGTCAGTGTAAGAAGTCAGTGTTTATGTATTCGGTAGGGGAAAGAGTTTTTCATATTTTTATACAAATTAAAAATATTTTTTTTCAAAGTTTAATTACATTTCATTATAATATACATGTGTAATATATATTTGGTTAGACGATGACTGAGAGACTTTTTATTGTTCTGTTTCTTAATGACATTTAATTGTTATATTATATTTTGTTGGATAACGTGTTACCATCTTGTAGGTAGTGACATAATCCTGTTGCCATAGAAATCTTGTGATTTTTGATCAAAAAAATGTGACTAGTAGTTTTGACAGTCCTTTTTTGATGTTAACCTAACAATGCAACCAATCCAAACAATTCTAAAGAGACCGAAACAGGTGAAAATCTGAGGGTGCAAGGTCAGGACTATATGGTAGATGCATTAACACTTCTCAACTCTCAATTTTTGTTGAGTGGCCAAAGATGTGTATGGTCTGGCGTTATTATGATGCAAAACCACTCCATTTCTGTTGATCAATTCCGGCCGTTTTCCGTTCATTTTTGTCTCAATTTCTTGCTTAAGTCTCATTAGTTGTTGGCAGTAGAGATTCCAATCGATGGTTGTGCCCAGCGGTAAAAGCTCATAATAAACGACGCCCTTCCAGTCCCACCTTATTGCGTGTTAATCCGGGTTTCGCTACAGTCTGTGGAGTTTGACTACCCTTTGACCATGACCTTTTTCGCACGTTCTTGTCGTAGTGATCCACTTTTCATCACCACTGTCAATTTCTTCAGAAATGTTTCGGTGTCATTACGTTTCAATAGAGAATCGCAAATGAGTACAAGATTCATTTAGGTTACTTTCAGTGAGCTCGTGTGGTACTTTTTTGTATAGCCAGACTTATTTAAATGGGTCAAAACTGATTTTTCGTCAATCCTCAATTCGTGTTAACGCGGACAGGGCCGCGTTGAGGCGGGGAAAGGCAGGCGGCGACCGCGGGCTCGACCGCGGCACTTGGCCAAGAGAGAGCGTGGGAAATAACCCGTGCATGAGATCATGTTAATACCTTGAGACATTCTATATTAAGATGTAAAGAAAAATTAAACCTAATAATATTGTTCAGCTAGACACTCTATATTTTGTTGTAAAGAAAATTAAACGTATCGAAATCCAGTATAAAATCCTTTATTCATTAAACATAATGGCGATCGTTTCAAGCACACGGCTGCAACACTCGGCTACGACTTAACTACTAATATGCCGATTTTGCTACGCTTTTCAAAAATGGTATGAGGGCGACCAGAGCGAGCTGCATCTTAGAGATTAAAATTCCCGGGCTGTAAACGCTTGAACCAACTATGAGATACTCTTAATGACACGGAATTAGAACCATAAATGTCACAATTTTTTTTGTAATAAAATTTCAGAATGTAACGAATTTTTCTTTAGATTCACTCACTTTGGCGGACAGAAAAACAATTGAAAATGGCGGGAAAGTATTTTAAACTTTTTATTGATCTGTTTCTTAATGACCTATATGTATTGGTATTAAAACCAGCCAGATACAAATAGTACAACCAAAGAGATTTTTCTTTAATTTTATTCATTCATTCAAGAACACTACAAAACTAGTTTTTCGGATTATATCGCGTATATTTACTTTATGTTACATTCCCGACGTTTCGAACACTTTCAGCACCCATGGTCACGGGGGAAGGGGGCTGAGGTGTTCCAATTCCCAATGTAATAGTTAGCCACGGCTACCTCCAGACTAAAATTATTAATTATTGTTTCGCTCTATGCAGTATGAATTTATATATAGTATCTTAAAGTCTTGCAGTTGTGTGCTTGGGTTGGGATTTAATTTTATTAATTACAGGACCCCATGCAGATGGTAGCACTCCGCCTTCCACAATAGGTAGCCAGACGTAAAGCAGAGTCTGAGTACAAATACTGCATATTCTACGGGCATGTTGTTTTCCTCCAGCCTTCTAGTTACAAGCAAGTAGATGGTGTGGCGATGGGCTTTCTTGTATCTCGTATTATCGCCGACATATTCATGGAAGACTTTGAGGAGAAAGCCCTGCTTATTTCTCCCGTAAATCCAAGATTCTAGAAGCAAAACGTAGATGACACTTTCACAATTCTACCTTTCAATAAAGTAACAGCATTTTTAGACCATCTTAACTCCATAAATTATAAAATTCAGTTCATAATGGAGTTAGAGGCAAACAATTTTTTAGCTTTTCTAGATATGTTAATAAATTCGAAATCCTGATAATACCTTGAACCACACTATGTATTCTATAGAAAAGACCCATACAGATAGATATTTAAACGTTAATTCTCACTACCATCCTTAATAGATAGCTACCGTTGATAAAACTTTGTTTCAGATAGTATGAGGAATCTGTGACAGTAAATACCTGGCCGTCGAGCTCTAAAACGTCAAGCAAGCTTTGCATGACAACAAGCTTCGGGTCAGGAGTCTATGTCACTGTGAACGAAATAAGCCGGCCACAGTCGAGCGCGTATCTGCTGTACTGCCATAAGTCATAGGTTCACTGACAAGATTGGCTACATTTTGAAGCGCGCTTACATTAAATTGTATATTGTACATACTTTAAGGCGCCGAAGAAGATTAGTCAGTTTTTACCATCAGTCAAGTGTAATGTCCTTCTGCAAGATGCAGGATATATAGGCTTGATTATGAATGTGGTCTCTCTTTCATAGAACAAACAAAAAACCCGTGTTAAAGAACACATAGCTGATGTGAAGAATCGACGCTCCAAGAAGTCGGCAGTTTGTGAACACAAACAGATCAGATTTGATAGACCACAAACCCTCGCAATAAAAATAAACAACACTGATTCCTTCCAAGGATGATTCGCGAGGCTATTGAAATCAAAAAACATCCCAGTTTCAATATAAAAGATGGCTGGGTGTTACCATCTGCTTGAGATCCTATAATTAATAAAATTAAATCCCAACTCAAGCACACTACCGTAAGATTTCAAGACACCGTAAGTTCATACTGCGTAGATCAGAACAAAAATTAATAACGAACACCTCAGAACCCCCCCCCCCCCCCCCTGTGACCATGGGTGCTGTTGAGTACTCGAAACGTCGAGAATATAAAATAAGTTAATATACGCGATATAATCCGTAAAAACTAGTTTCAATTAAATTTGTAGTGTTCACGTAAACATAAGAAATGTTTACACAAACAAAATACGAAAAAACTTTTCCCCAACCTATTATTAAGTCGATAAGGAAATGTTTATGTAATAAGTAGCCATTAGGGAGTGTTTATACAGTGTTTATGTAGTGAGTAGTTATAAGGCAGTACTGATGTGAAGGTGCTAACCCGACGTGCTTGTGGCTGGCTACGAGCAACTCGAAGTCGGGCCCGTAGGTCTGCAGCGCGTCCACCAGCAGCAGCGAGTGCACAGACAGCGACAGCGACACGTCGCACGGCCGCGTCGTCAGTGCCGCCTTCACGCCGCACACCTGCACCTCGGCGATGCTGCGCCCGCGCGACTGCACCTGCGCCACCGCCGGCTGCACTTGTGCACACCGCTACGTATCTCCCTCTCTCACATACACACTTTCGCTCTAGCTCTACGACCATAAGCAATGTGATTGGGGCAAAAATATAACGGAATAATAAGAGTTAGCTGAATTTTCTGATCTTATTACACTATATATTCAATACCTCGTCATCATCCATCATCTCCGTTTACACAATTTTTTCATATTTTTTAAATGACACATTGTAATACGTAACTACTTTAAAAAGGAAAACGTAACCGAAAACGGAATTATAACAGATAAATTTCAAGGGAGCCAAGAAAGAGCACGCTGAAAAAAGTATCGAGTAAGTACCGCGTGTTCATCCCAAGATTCGGTCCGCATAACCGGATCGTTGGAAGGATCATAGAAGGTGGCAGATTAGCTCATTCTAAAGTTAACGCTTCAATACACATCAAAAAGGCAAAAATACGACAAAACATTTTGTTTTAACTTAGACATGGCAGAAAATTGATATAACAGGTGTCCAGAACGTCAACGTCAAGCGTGTACGGGCAAATGGCCAACCCATAATTATTATGGTGAACCCATGTTTTAAAATTACTTGCCAAGAGTAATATTGTCCAATTTAAAAAAAAGTGATGGGTCAAAGTGAAAAGGGAAAAAACATTTGTTTTTTCAACCTTAACTCAATCAAACTTACATTATTTTCAGAAAACTAACGACTGTTGTTTGATTTGTTACTTCTACAGTATAATATTAGCAAGTTAAAAAGGATTTTGTGACCAAAGTACGTAAAGATGATGATGAATGTCCTCTACGGGGACGATTATATTCAAAATCTAGTTGTACCCACACTGGCCAGCAAAGTCAAAGATGCAAGATCTATTGTATTGCTATCGTCAAGTTGTTTGCAAACCGTGAAAATTATAATAAATCACTCCTGAAGTGGGAGAGGTCCATGTCTTGTAGTAGACTTTTACGGGCTACTGATGAAGGATAGAAGAAGAATTGATAATAATTTTTGCGTGATAAAGTAATGCGATAAAATTCTGAGCCCCTTCAAACTTTAGACTTTACTTTCTTAGTGACCGTCTCTGACACAGTCCACACTTCGGATCCACTCTTGCAAGTCACTTCGTTAATTTTCATTGCAAAGTTCTAGGTGTTACGTTTTAAGCGAATTCGTGGGATCAAACACCTCCTCATCTACATCATAACCGATGTTAATATCTGTGTCTAGCCACATTCTTTTAAGGAAAAACTAATTTGAGCAGTTTACCATTGTAAAGATTGTGAGCCAAGCGAAGAAGCAGCGAAACAAACTAAATTTCCATCACAGCCTACAAAAGTCTACTGCTGAAGATAGGCCTCCTCACATATTTGTCCTCACAAGGGGAAGTTTCTTATAATATGAACTGGACGATTTATAAAAAAAATCTGCAACTGCAGTGAAACATTGATTATTAGTAACGCGATAAATTCCGTCCCTTCCAAAAAGCAAACCCTCTCAGTAATATGAAGATGAACACGGGTTTCTCCTATAGATAGCGCCATCTATCATCGATCTACAGGAAAGAAAAACACAACCTACCTGTATTTATTACAGCACCACCATCTATCGACGATATTTACTCTAACTTTAGATACTAAGGTTAATTATATTTATTGTTTATATTTATTACGTTATTATTTTTTATTTTCGTTTACTGCGTTTCAGATATAATTTCATCGTTATGGAAAATTATTTTACATCATTTAATTATAATTAATGCACTTGACGACTTAACGCCGCCATTGAACAAATTCGTACTTATGATTCGGACCCATGCTTCAGAATATTAATCATTACCTTTGATAACATGAACCGATTTCAATGAAACAAAGACTAAATTAAACACAAAGGTACGCTTTATAATTTCCTCGCTGATTATTTTGATATAAATTAGTACTTTATACGTGATACGTTAACAAACAAACAGACAGACAGACAATTCTAAAAATGATAGAAATGTATTCAGTTATTTATTTATAGTCCCTCTCGATCAATTTTGTTAGAAACATATAAAATGTACAGACATCTGCAATTTATATCTTTATTACATGTATAGAAGATATGCCTTTATCACTTAACTAGATATAGAGACACGGATTTTTTTTCTTATTTTTGGCAAAACATTTTATGGGTTGGTCTCTCGTCCGGTACTCGCCTAACGTTGAGCTTCGAGACGTCCTATATAATTAAATAAATACCTCGAGGGACATTTGGTCAATAGCGAACTGCAGCATGAAGAGTGTAGCGTTATTATGCGCCGAAAACTCTGAGCATTCCGTCTCCGAACTGGTGCTGTTATCTTCTTCGTCTTCTTCAGGATGCTCCTGACTCGGAGACTCGGGACTAATAGAAAATTAATGACATGGAATCAATAGTAAAATCAACATATAAATTCGAAAATTTTCTATACAAAGTGTATTAAATAAAATTAAAAGCAAAGACTTCTATGTATACTACAAGAACGGCAATTCAGAATTTTTACACGTGGTATAGCCATGCTGCAATTATATTGGCAGTATAGCTGTAGCACGAATGAGTCCGCTCGACTGGGGAAGGACCACGCTTTCACAGAATACCAGCGTCAAATAGTAGCTTAATGCTGCTGTGTTTCGTATGGTGAGTGTAGAGAACCGGAGACTCTTTTTACTGGAAATGAAGCATTCCATCTTAGTCCTCACGGGTGACAACGCATCTGCATTTTGATTCGTAATCGAGGATAGATGTAGATGTCTATGGGCCACAGCAACCACTTTCCATCAGGTGGACTGTGTGCTCGTTTGTCACCCTATTCTATAAAAAAAAACTGCGTCCCAGGCGGGTAGCTGCAGCTGGTAGGCACGGTAATTATGCCACGCACTTGTATTTTTATTGACAACAGTTGCTCTTATAAGGCAAATACGATATAAAGTTACATATTTATCTGAAATTATCTGAAGCGGTCTACAGAGCCCGTCTAGTAGTATGCATAGAGTTCTTAGGTTAAAAACGTTATAGTTTCTTGTAATCAATATTTTCATTGTATTATATTTCTTTATTTTTAATTATCTATTAAGGGTAGCAATTTGAATCTGACATTGATGTTAACATAACAACCTCACACAATCACCTTAAAGATGCCATGAAGATGTAAATTTTGTTACCCTAAAATACACAACTGATCAAATTTTAAATCAACGTAAATTAATGTGCATTGAAGTAATATGTACTATGTACTGGAACAGAAACCAAGAACAAAATCTGTGCTCCAGTGCGGGACCCGCTTTTTCGTTATGGCACAGACACTAAGTAAATTGGAGCCCAGGGGCTCTAACGCGTGTTGCTCGCGTCTCTTTGAGTTCGTAATTCATATAACTTTAATGTTAATTTGTGTTAATTAGACTTGTAACGAATATTCGGGTATTGTTTGGATATTTCTATTGCCTATTCAGCTATTTTTATTCTATTCGGTCGAACACCGAATTTCTCAGTAATAACTATTTAAGTAAAAAGTTCTAAAATGTTTTAAAAAAGTTAAAGTTTTAAAATGAAAATATTGGTTTATTATGTACATAATAATGTAATTTTCTTGTAATTATTAGAGTCGTTTTGCCTAATATTTGGCTATTCGAACTGGTAGAACGCAGAATAATCGGTATACGCCGTGTGGCCGAACATTCTATTCGTTGCAAGTCTAGGATGAATGTGTTTTACTCAAATGTTTCCGTTCACAACATGTATAGTTCTAGCTGCACTAGTGGCAGGTAGCGGCAGGAGTGGCGCGTGGTAGCCGGGCCGCCGGGTACTGCGAGTCGCTCGTGTGCAGCACGCCGCAGTACTCACGTGGCGCGGCGCGGCGAGCAGCTGGCGAGCACTGCGCGTACGGCGGCCAGCTTGTGCTCGCTGAGGTGCACCACGAGCGCGAGCAGCGATTCGCACAGCGTGGCAGCCGGGTACTGCAAGGTCACCGGTATGCAGCACGCGGCAGTACTCACGTGGCGCTGCGCGGCGAGCAGCTGGCGAGCACTGCACGTACGGCGGCCAGCTTGTGCTCGCTGAGGTGCACCACGAGCGCGGGCAGCGAACCGCACAGCGTGGCAGCCGGGTACTGCGAATCGCCGGTGTGCAGCACGCGGCAGTACTCACGTGGCGCGGCGCGGCGAGCAGCTGGCGAGCACTGCGCGCACGGCGGACAGCTTGTGCTCGCTGAGGTGCACCACGAGCGCGGGTAGCGAGCCGCACAGCGTGGCAGCCGGTTACTGCGGGTCGCTAATGTGCAGCACGCGGCAGTACTCACGTGTCGCGGCGCGGCGAGCAGCTGGCGAGCACTGCGCGCACGGCGGCCAGCTTGTGCTCGCTGTGGTGCACCACGAGCGCGGGCAGCGAGCCGCACAGCGTGGCCGCCGGGTACTGCGGGTCGCTGGTGTACAGCACGCGGCAGTACTCACGTGGCGCGGCGCGGCGAGCAGCTGGCGAGCACTGCGCGTACAGCGGCCAGCTTGTACTCGCTGAGGTGCACCACGAGCGCGGGCAGCGAGCCGCACAGCGTGGCCGCCGGGTACTGCGGGTCGCTGGTGTACAGCACGCGGCAGTACTCACGTGGCGCGGCGCGGCGAGCAGCTGGCGAGCACTGCGCGTACAGCGGCCAGCTTGTGCTCGCTGAGGTGCACCACGAGCGCGGGCAGCGAGCCGCACAGCGTGGCCGCCGGGTACTGCGGGTCGCTGGTGTGTACCACGCGCCGCTCCGCCTGTGCACACGCACAATATCGTACACATATAGTTGGCGACACGAGTGGTGAGCACAGATAAACTGTGGTGGGAGGTAGGTAGGTACATTGTCGGGCAAAATTATTGGATACCTTTATTATTTCAATTCGTAATTTAATATTTTTGGCGACTTTTATGAAAATGTTTACACATCAACTTTTACTTTGATACAGTAATGTTGCAGATATTCATGTCCGTTATTTTATTATCTACTATAAAGTATTTAATGTATACTTCGTGGTTAGAATTGATTATTTTATTAAGAAGAAGGAAGAGGTGATATGCCTTCCATAAAAACTGGTGTTGCGGTGCGTCGTACAGTAGCTACTGAGACATTAGTCGCCTCAAAAGTCTGTTTATATAGGTCTATTATGTTTTTCGCAGTACCTAATTTTTTCATGTAACTAAACACTGAATAGAAAATTTGTCGGGATTGTCTATTTAACACCGAATTCTTCCTTCTCTGCATATTTAGACCAAAATCTGAACACTCAAATTATAACAACAAAAATAATTAAAAACAAGAAATAACAAAAACAATAAATAACAAGGAATACACAAACAACAATTAACAACGAGCTGACAAAAACAATTAACGAAAATAAACTAATTAAAAAAGTTATCATTAAAATTATTGTTCTGAAGTGTACGGAAGCCGAATGATACGTTCGAAACCAATAGACGACGAGAATCGACTGATGAACCAATCACGTTGAACGTCAGCGTGGTCAACGTCGTATCGACCAATAAAAAGTGTGCTCACGACTTATGTCGGCAGTTATACGTACTATACTCAACCAAATCTTAAAATAACTTTTGACGTTTCACATTAACCATTTCGCAATAACTTTGGACAAGCGTACTCACACGATTTAAAATAACTTTTAACGTAAATCCAAAGAATTGTGAAGTTATCTTTATTTTATTACAACATTTATAGTTCTTTATCACTAATTTAAATTTTGACGTTGTTTCAGTGATACAAAGGGCGTTTAGTTATTTTCTCGGTGTTTGTTAGAGTGTTTTGTTAATAGTGTGGGTAATAAAAAAAAATCATTAGCTAATGACACTACCTGAGGGTATAAATACGAAATTTCGTCTTGATAACTTCGTTACTTATTATGTAACCCTTCAGTCATAGACAACGGAAAGGGCTGACTCGAAAAAAATTGAACAACGTGCGGTGATTAAATTCCTCACTAAACGAGGAAATACTCAAAAAAACATCCATAAAGAAACGGTGGCCGTTAACTAAGAAGGAGCAGCCTTCAATGTCAACCGTACAGAAGTAGTCAAGTGAATCCAAAAGAGGCAGGGAAAGCAACGAAGATGACCCCCGCCCGGGTGGACATTACAGCGGCTACAGAAGAAAATGTTAAGATGTTAGCAGAAATGACTAACCTATCCGTTGGTACCATACACACCATACTGCACGACTATCTCAACTTCACAAAAGCAGGCGCGGGTTTACTTTATAAATGATTATTTTCCAACAAAACGGTATTTTAGTGGATTATGAAATTATTTTCTTCGTTTAATACAATTTTTAATATGTATACAAATAATTTATTTAAATTTTGTTGTGCTAATATTGTGAGCCTCATTCTTTGACTATAAATGTTATACATAAATATTATGAGACACTTTATAACATAGTAAAAGACGTGAGTGAAGTTTAAGACTAAGTACAGGATATTTAATTATGAATTAAAAATATTGATATATGTATATATAATGGTATATAATATATATAATAATATGGAATATATGTATATGGTAAAAGGTTTGACGTAGGTAGTAAAAATTATCGTAGATTAGCATATCCACATACAATGAGCCTGATCAGCTGAGAGTTTGGAAAACCTAATAACCCATTAATTTTTAAGGTTGTTCGGATACTGTAAAATGCGGGATGAGTTTTAATATATTATTAATGAGAGAAATGAGAATTTATTATGAATTGTATAGTAATATTGTACATAATCTTGATCATGTATGTCCGCAGGCCGTGTACATGAAAGTTATAGTACACTTAAATAATGATTAATATGAGCTAAAATACTATAAATGTAAAGAAGTTAATGCAATAACATTGGTTATTGTCTTGATGATGTATGTATGCGAGCCGTGTACGTAAAAGAAATGACACAATTATTAAATAATAAAAAATAGCTAAAATGCTATGGAGTAAAAAATAAATATGTTTAGTTAAAATGAAATTAAATAAATAAATGAAGTTATAATAATAAAGAATGAGAGGAAATGAATGAATAAATAATTAAGAGAAGAGAATTTTAAAATATAAATGCCTGTAGAATTACACTAGATGTTCGCGAATTTAAACATATTATGTATTACTTATTTATGTCAAATGTGTATGTCGTATGCAGTATGTAGGTATATACATCAAATTCTATTGTGACCTTGAAGTTACTATGGGTCTGGAGGATCTGGCCACCCGACTTACTTATATCTATACCTATTTTGACTTTTGTTTTTTATATTCACATTAGATTTACGATTCATATTTATTTTATTAATTTAAAAAAATTAATATATTTTTGGTGGGAGGTGTGATGTATTTATGGTGTAGCCTCCACGATAATTTATATTAGTTAGTAGTTTAGTTTAGAATAAAGAGCAGTATAATTAAGTAACACGTCTTTTCCATTGACACCTTTCCTACATTATTATTACAACTGGTAGGGAGTTTTTAGAGCCGTGTGGTGACGACCTAACAAGTGTTTTCGATAAGATAGTTACAGAAGATGAAACGTGAATCCACCACTATAACCCTGAGAGTACAATGGCATAAAAAGGGATCAGACGCCCCCACCCCCACCCAAGAAGTTCTAAGTTTCATAGGCCGGTAAAATCATGGCCACAGTGTTTTGGGATTCGGAAGGAATACTATTGATCGAGTACACAAAAAAAGGTGAAACTATCAACATAGACAAATACTTAGCCACTTTACGCCGTTTGAGATAAGCAATAAAAGAGGGGGAAGAGGAAAGCTAAACAAGGGAGTGCTGCTTATTTATGACAACGAATTGGTTCACACGGCGCGGCTCTCCAAGGCTGCTGTACGAGACTGCGGGTTTGAGGAAATTAACCACCCACCCTACAAACAAGATCTAGTCTAGCCTGTAGTGACTAGGGGAAAACAATTTGCTGACGATAATGAGCTCAAGTCCATTGTAAATAAGCATTTTTCAGGCCAAGACGAAAAATAGTTTTTCAAGGGAATAGAAAAGCTTTGTTCACGAAAAAGTAAATGTAGTGATGTCATGGGACATTATATTGAAAAATAAAAATATTTCATAATTTTATCTTTTTCTAACATACCCATACCGAGAATACATTGAACGCCCCCTCGTATAACGTAATGCACCTTAGCATAGCGTTTGGATGATTCAAATTCGTATCAATGCGAGTTATCGGTAAAAATATTCAAATAATCGAATCTTTAAATTTTTTAGTTTCATTATTTGTTCATTTAAATTTGACAAAGAATAACATTTTTACAAGAAATAAATAATATAATAAAATAAGTAAGCTTAAAATGCTTTTTTTAGGAGTGTTTATGACAGTATTCGAATTTAATGTAGACAACGCTGATGACCGATGACAGCTCAACTAGTAGTGAAATTGATTAAATAAATTAGCACAGTAAGCAATAAATATGAAAAATCTGATAATTTTTTTGAGTTATCTGTTACTTATTTATTCTGTAGATAAAACTGTAAATGATTACCAACTCTACAGAATAGATATCGATAAATCTTAAGAATCGAATATTGTAGGTACCGATTTTTCAGTTGGAATACTTAGTCTAATAAATGTGACAGCTGTCATAGGGTATTTCTTAGATCTGGTGGAGTATAATCGCGTAGAACAACAATACAGTAAAGGTAACAAACGAGCACACAGTCCACCTGATGGTAACTGGACGCTGTGGTCAGTATCAATACATTCAACTAATATATACCGCCTCGTTGAACTAGTGATCGTAAATATGGTTGCTGATCAAATCCCGGGTTCGACCCGGGATTCGAGCCATAATGCAGGACCATCAAAATTACTTTACGTGAAAGTACAACACAAAAGTTGTTTAGTAAAACATAACAAAATATGCGGGAATGTGTTCATAAGTCCAAGTCAAAAATAAAAACGTGATGATAGCCTTCCATCATTCCTCACCGTTCTCTAAAATTCATTAACTTTCACTTACCTGAAGTGATATGCTAAAGCGATCGAGCAGATGAAGTGCAGAGGTTGTTTTGGTGTGTGCGTATTTCCAGTTGTCCTTAGCTCGCCCCACCAATATCTGGAGGTCACTTAGCTCAATATTGTACCTGTAAAATAGCAAAAAGTGTCTAAGTGTCTATTGTTTACAATACCACACTAAGAGTTTTAAATAGAAGCAAAATAAATAGTGTAGAAACGCGGTCATTAAGAAGTATGTTTGGGCTGAATCTGAATGACAGGTTGAGAAATGGTGTGATAAAAGAATAGTGTGGTTTACAAGATGATGTTGTGACCAGTATTATAAAAGGAATGCTTCGGTGGTTTGTTTATGTAGAATGAACGAGGAAAGAGTGACAAAGCAAATTTATGTTGCAGAAGTGAACGGCAGAGTCGGGAAGCGACGCCCTAGACGAAAGGTTATCGAACAAATTGGCGATATATTGAAGATGGGAAGATGGGACTATAGGAAGCGAGAGAGGTGTGTCAGGATCGTGCAAATTGAAGTCCGTAGTCTCTGCCTACCCCTCTGGGTAACAGGCGTAACTGTTTATGTTTTTATATGTATTTAAATTTGGTACTTTCAAATATAAAACCTGTCGTAAAGGCTTGTGTGAAGATTTGCAGCATCGAGGGCGCTGACGCTGAGGGGCGGAGGATCCGGCGGGGACGCGGGGGACAACAAACTGCCTGGAGGAGTAGAGCACGGCGTCATAAACATTTCTGTAAGCAATAATAAAACATTGTGAGATAATTATTACATAGTAGATCAAACTAATTCTACACATCTTTCCGTATTTAATCTTTATTTAACGGCGAACTGAAAACCATAGTTTTATCGTGCTATAGTATGTGACTATGGGTGTACTATGGATACTATAAGATGTCGAGAATTTAAAATACATAGTTTAATATTAAATGCAATAGAATCAGTATTTTTTTTTTATTTAAACATAGTAGGTTTTCCTCACAAGGATTGTTGTATAAATAAAATTCTTGAATGTAATAACTGAACGCATTTACAAATTTTAATAGGACACACAAGTTCAAATGATTGTTCGGTTGTAATCGGACGAGTTTCACATTTGAAATGCAGTACTATCGGCGTTCGCTCACAAATGGCGTAGTCATCCCAAATAATAATTTTAGTTGCAGAGAGTTAGAGATTATATCATATTTTACAATCCATTTTAGGCATGCTACATTTTTAACATACTATGTATATTGAGGTGTAATATATGTGATGTATTAAGGCATGTTAACCGGACTAGGTAGGTAGGTATTGAGACATACCGTCGTCATCGCCAAGCGTGGTGGAAGGCTGTGCGTCGTCGGTGAAGTGTGCGTTGGCGAGTCGCAGGCGGCCGAAGTCCACGACCAGCACGGAGGCGTCGCGCTCGCTCAGCCGCTCCACGAACAGGATCTGCGGCGCCGACACGTCCAGCTCCACCTGCCACGAGCGACGCTCGCCCTGCACCACACGATAACACATCACTCTTATAGGAACTGACGAAATAAAGTATGTCGTCGTTGAGAAAAATCGAAGTATTTCAACATACAAATTTTTACAATTTAGTAAGATTCCAAATTGCTAAAAAACGTTTTTAAAAAATGCTGTTTTATTTAATACCAAATACTAAATTTCAATACATTAAATAATACCCGATATATTTGAATTTACATGTCTGATACATGTGTAAATCCAACAAACTGGTGAATTATCGAAATTGTCAGAGGGAACCTCCCTCTGATAATTTCGATTTGCTCTGCACGTACCAAACAGTGAATACTTAGTACTCCAACGTCCAAATCAATGAATATTTTTCAAATAATACTAGCGGTGAATTAAATAGAAATAAGATTTTCGAAACGTGTTTACTCCTCAATTTACGAAGAATTGGCATCACATCCGGCACGAGGGACCGATATATTTGAAATTATTCATCATCATCATCATTACAGCCCAAGAAATGCCACAAAGCACGTCAAGCCAAGTAGTCACTCCATATAGTGGGGGTCACCCTACACTTCGCATTTCGGAACGAGGCTGCCACTCAAGAACCTCTTTCCACATCGCTTGTCGGTTCTTCAAGCTATATGGCCAGCCTATTGTCATTTCAGCTTACTAATCCGTTGGGCTATTTCGGTCATTCTGGTTCTACTACGGATATCCTCATTTCTAAGTTTATCACACAGTAAAACCCCTAGCATAACCCTCTTCATAGCTCAGCAAGCAACAGCAGTGAAGGACCACGTCTCAGAATAAGTCATCACAGGCAACAAGTACTAGTTGCACAATTTCGTTTTTTCATTTTGAGGTATATCTGACGAGATGTGTCGTAATCTCCCAAACGCTGCCAAGCCGAGTTGAATCCGTCGATTGACCTCTTAGTCGAAGTTAGAAGACTTACCTACTCGGACTGTTTGTTCCAGGTAAACATACTCGTCCACAAGTTCGTGCTTAGTGCTCCCAACAACTATCAGCATGGGTGTGACATGGACGTTACACGTGATCTTTGTTTTGTTAATGCCATTTAAGACCTATCCTTTGGGATGCACTGTTGAGGTCATTGAGCAAGTACTTAGCTCCTCCACCGATTCTGCCATAAGGACTATATCGTCGGTAAATCAAAGGTGAGCGATGTACTCGCCATTGATGTTAATACCGTATCCTTTCCAGTCCAGTAGCTTGGAAACGCCTTCCAATGCATCGGTGAAGAGTTTCGGGGATATAAATAAATAAATTAAAATAAAATAAAAATCATTTATTTCAACCACAAGGATCATAGAATGTTAGTAATAATACAAATCTTAGAACTAATGGTAATAAAAATTAAAACTATTTACCTAATTTTAAAAACTATATCTAAGACAGGCCCTATTAGTCAGCACGTAGACCATATGACAATGGTTCAGGTACTGACAATCAAGCCTGTCAGAAAATGCCCTCATGATACCATTGGAACTGGCCCGCACCCTGCGCACCAGGGATGTGCATCGTTTACGCATGGTGGTGTAGAAACAATCCACACGCGCATCCGCGAACATACCCGACGCACTACAATAACGAGGCAGACCCAACAGCACCCTGAATGCATTATTATATTGAACACGCAGGGCATTATACTGTTTCTGCGTGTAGTCCACCCACAGACTGCTCGTGTAAAAGGAAGTGCAGTAAGCTCTAAAGAGCGTTACTTTAACAGGAACTGAACAACGAGCGAACCTGCGAGCGATCATCTTCGCTCTAACAGACAATGCCCTGCGCTCTCTCTCTATGTTAGCATCATCTTTCAGGTCAAAGGATACTATATGACCCAGATACTTAAACTGAGACTCTAAACTTGACTTGAGCTTGACACGAGAATTTTAATCGCCGTGTTTTTATTCCGTATTTCGGTAAAAATGACAAGTTTTAAAGTGGAGTCTGCTTTCGCCAATTTGTCAAAGAATGTAGAAGCGTTGACAACAAAAATCACAACGCAAGTGACCCTAATTGAAGCGCAGAATAAGAAGATAGAAAATCAGCAGCGCATTATTGAGAAATTGTTTTCGACGATAAGTGACCTGAAGAGGGTAATCGAAGAAATGCCCGCTAGAACAATCGACCTATTGCGGGCTGGGCCGTCGACCAGCGAGACCGACGTACAGACTAAGGTACTGACAGTCCCAAGTGCAAGCGAGACACCGATATCCTCAGATACGGTCGCTATAACAGAGAAAAAAATAACGCAGCGCGCGCAGCAGCGGGCAAAAAAGGCTGTTTCCACACTGGAAGTAAACAATTCAGAAAAAGATGATTCAACTATAATTGAAACGTCTGCGACTGAAGAATGGAAAGTAGTAGGTGGCCATAAAAAGTCTAAGAAGGCCCATCTTAAGGCAATCCAAACTGGAGGAAACGCCCAAATCGGTTCGTTCCAGGCTATACAGAAGAAGAAGTTTTTACACGTGTGGTCACTCCATCTTGAAACCTCGGAAGATGCGATAAGGGAACACGTGAAAAAAATTTGTGGTTCTGAGGATATCAAAATTGAAAAGATTGTTCCAAAAACCAAGAGAGACTATTCGTCATTCAGGATTGGTGTTCCAGAGTCCACGTTTGAAAAAGTGAACTGCAGAGATAGTTGGCCAATACATACCCGATTTAATGAATGGGTGTGGTTTCGAAACACCCGTAAACCAGAAACAGGTAATGAAAACCTGTTATAAGGGCATTAATGTTTACTACCACAATGTTAGAGGACTTAGAACAAAATTATCTACTTTTTATTTGAATATTTTGGAGTCACCGTACGACTTATTTGCAATTACGGAATCAAGTCTTCATAGATCCATACATGACGGTGAACTTATACCACCTGGTTTCCAAATACTGCGATGCGATCGAGCTGATGGCCGCAAGCATGGAGGAGTATTTCTAGCTTCTTCGTCATCGCTGGAGTTGAAAAGCGTTCCTGTCGGCAATGTGGACACCGCCTTATTTGAAATTGTGTGTGCGACGGTACACCGTGATAAGGTTGTTTGTTATGGGGTTGTAGAGTGGTCATTCCTGAATGCCTACAGAATTTAATCATGAATGAATTACATTCAAGTCATTTTGAAACAAATAGAATGAAACAAATTGCACGTTCTTATTTTTGGTGGCCTGTTATCATGTTTAATTTGTCTAGAAAATCGTGATAACCCAAAAAAAACATTATTGCCTACATGGCCATGTTCTGAGTCTGTGTGGGAAAGGTTTCATGCAGATTTTCTTGGACCTATTTATGGGAAAATGTTCCTTGTAATAGTTGACAGTTACTCGAAACGGCCTGAAGCTTTTATGATGTCAAATATTACAGCATGTAAAACAATTTCAATCTTTAAAGATTTATATTCTAGATTTGGTTACCCGCTCCATTTGGTGGTGGATAATGGTACAACTTGGACAAGCAACGAGTTTAAAGAATTTTGCAATGTGACAGGTGTTAGGATAAGTTACACACCACCTTACTATCCGGCAACAAATGGGGCGACAGAAAGATTTGTTCAAACTTTTAAAAGCCATGTAAAAAAAATTGTAGAAAGTGGTCATAATTTAGAGTATGTCATTAATTTATTTCTTTTCGACTACCGAACAAGTATTAATAGAATCACCGGTGTTAGCCCCGCAAAGTTATTATTTCGTCGTGAACTGAGATCTAGGTTCTCACTTTTCGGACCACCACCAATTAGTGCACGATTACAAATGCTTGATGAAAAATTAAAAAATGTAGTCGAGGAAGCAGGTCGGTAATATTTAGTGTGGGGGAAAAGGTGATGGTAAGGGACTATAGAAATAAGGCAAAAAATGGATTTGTGGGGAAGTAAAGCAGTGTTTAACACCGGGGGTGACATATATGATTGAAGTTCAGGGGAGACTTGTAAAACGTCATGTGAATCAAATGTTGAAGTGTGCAGTAACAGTTGAAGGTGAATAGTCATGTAATATTTATAAATTATTTGTATAAATAACCTTCACTTTTGTATAAAATAAAAATAATATAAATATGTCCTAATTTTATAACATTGTGGGTGGGGAAGAGTGTGGTAACACATAATGGGAAATTTTACAAAGGTGGTGTGGGCAACACTCTCTCTCGCTCTCTGGACAAGTTAAGCGAATGTGTGTTCTAATAAAATTCGTGAATCGTTTCAATGAACATATCAAATTATTATTATAACCTAGTAATATAAATAATTAGAAAACTCAAATACAACAGAAGACAAATGATTTTTTGAAGAAGGAAAACGTTGAGCTGATGAGCCATTCTCTGTACAGCCCTGACCTGAGCTCAAACAATTTCTTTACACTCCCTAGAATGAAAGATTTATTACGCGGTCAATGGTTTGAAGACCCCGAAGCAGCTGTGGAAGCGTACAAATCAGCCATTTTGTCAACATCAACTTCAGACTGGAATTACTGTTTTAATGATTGGTGTTACGGCCCTGAGTTACCCCGACAAAGGTCGATTGAGCTAGGGCCTATCAGTAACCCAATTCGACGAGTAACTAAGGGTCGGGCCACAAAATGGCCTATGGATAATTAAATTATAACGGCTAGATACGCAAACACAAAACTTACCTAATTCCAGAAGTAGGGTCTACCACAAGGTGGCGTCAGGGGCAAGTAAATGGTAGTGTGTTTGTAGTCTAGGAAGGTGTGTAATGTAACCTGACGTCACCGATACAATCAGATAGCAGTACCACGTGCGTTGACCGCTCCACAAGACGCTCACCGCTATCGGAACTCAAGTCCAGCATCACTTAGCACGAACTATAATCGCGCACGATCTACACCCGGATCACAAAGTTCAGCGCTCCACACGAAAGCAAAATCCCTTCGTACACTTTAACTAATTTATTTTAACTTTAATTAAAAGCAAGCCACTCGTGGACACAAATTAATAGCAATCAATGTTAAAATAGTCAATCAAACGCAAAAAGCCTCGTTGTCACGTATATTCGCAACAACTATTATGTAACGCCCGACGTCTACCCGGCACGGCCGCAGCGCTCCAAGCTTCCTGCCGACTGCGTTCACTGGCAGCGCCGTATGCACATAGCGAGCCCCTCCTTCCCGCGCAACGCTAACCGGTTCCCCACTCGGAACTAGCGCCTTGCAATTTGTAGCTACAATCGGGCGTAAACAATTGGTTTGCACGAATGGAAAAGTGCATTAAGTTGAACGGAGAATACTTCGAAAATAATAAAATACAATTTAGTGGTTTTTCTTATTCGCGATCATTTCAGTATGCCCCTCGTAGAACCTTTCAATCTCACATAAAATCTAAGGTATATCGGAAACAATGCCGCTCTTTCTGGCAGACGGATCTTTGGCAAAGATTTTGGAGCCTTAGTTTCGCTCCATTGTTGATATTGCATTGCATGCATTTGGAGATATGTCCGTTCAGTTGTCTGTATGCTGTCAAATCTGCTCAAGACTGCAGCTTCATTTCTCGTCTAAGAGCCATGAGATTAAAAGTGTGATTGGAGAGTTTTTGTGTTCTTCTGCGGCGGGTCTTGTAGAAAACTTAGCTCCTACCGCATGGACAATTTCCACGAGCGTGGCATTCATATCGTCCACTGCATTGCAGTCCTCTAGGTACTGAAAACGATTTTGAACTCGAGCTGAAAGTTTTGAGGACTTTCGATTAGAGCACGAGGGGGAAGGAGCGTTGACTTCATTAGACGTGATCTCTCCAACTGAACGTTTCGGTTCAGTGTGCCTGTAACCATTGTGTGATCGCTGCCAATATTCACCCCCGCGATCACTGAGACATCACTTAATAGTTGCCGTGAAATTATTATTTTTATAAAATATATTATCATATATTTGCAAAAGAGACTATCATTATGTGGTAGTAAGATCTATCTCATACATTCATCACTCCATTTGATCCTGTGGTTATCACGGAGGCTACTATGAGGACTACCGGAAAGATTTCATGGTTTCCGATATATGGGGTAGTACAACAACTCGTATACGGGAGTCGTAAAACAAGTATGCCGGTGACGGGGAACAGGTGTGCGTTCGTGTACGGAACAGTTGTGTGTTCGTGTACGTACCGGGTGCGCGTGCAGCATGTGCTCCCAGTGCGTGCGCAGGCGCGCGCGCGTCTGCTCGCGAACATGCGCGAGGGCGCGGCGCGGGCCCCACGGCGCCGCCACGAACTGCTGCGCCCAGCGTGCCGCCTCCGCACAGTACACCACCTCCAACGACATTGACTTCACCCACAACCTGCGCGCAATTGCACATTCATTATTGTTCATTAAATGCACAAGAAATTGGAAGCACACTCGCACATTAGTTGGCAAACGAATGTATCCGGCTCGAGGAACCATATGCTTTTAAAATAAGTATGTATAATAAATCATATATTATAATAAATCTTACATTAATTTTTGCGTAAGTAATGAATAAAAATTACGCAAAAATTAATGTAAGATTTATTATATTCTATCTTCTCCAAAATTAGATCCCAATTTATAAAATCACTTTTTTGTAGATTTTAAGGTTTTATTTGCTATTATTTTCACTTATATACCCATTATAATTGAATATGGTAAAAAAAAAATTATATTTGCAATCACTTGTAATCGCAGTTGAGCCCAAATGGACGCTTCTCGTATGTGAGCTGGAAGAGCGGCTCTGCAGGCGCGGCGGCCGGGGCAGTGGCGGGGGCGGCGGCGGCGGCGGGTGCGTTGTGCGCGCGCCACCACGACGCCGCGCTCGCCGCCGCGTTCATGGCGCTTAGTCCCTCACGGATCATTCCCTGTACCACATGAATTCATAAAGGTCGCCGATCAATTAAACGAAACCTAACAAAATTTAAGAGTTATCAATTATCATTGATCATTGATTGAACTGAAGGGCACATAGGGATCGATAGTGTTTCTTTCCTGTTGTTGTGAAGTGTAGTGTTGATTTCCTTATGTTTTGTATAAGTTAAATAAAAGAGCAAACACTTCGTATAGCATATTTTGGTTACGTCGAATCGACACTTGTGTATGGTGTAATGTTTTGGGGAACTCAGTAGAACGGGAAAGTGTTAATAGCCCAAAATAAAAGGTGCATTCTGTAATTAAAGACCTACACTGGACAGATAGCTATAAAACACATTTTAAACAGATGCGAACTCTAACTTTTTCCTATATTTTTATCTACGAGACGGCTGTCTTTGTCCATGGAAACCTATCATTGTCTAATCTGTCAAGTCCTGCCGATCCACACGTGGAAAGCGGGGACGGTACCTGCGGCGCCACCAGCACGGGGAAGAGCGTGGCGGGCGTGATGCGCTCGCGCAGGCACACGGCGCCCAGCGACACGTGCAGCGCGTGAGAGCCCGTGCGCGGCCGCGACTCCACGCGCACACACACGCAAGAGAACTGCAGCTCCACGCCCTCGCCGCCCGCGCCGCCATCTCCATTCTGCCCCCTCTGCTCTCTGCTCATGCTAAAAAGTAAAAACAGTATAAAGGCAAGTACACTTATACACGATAGAGCCACGCTACAATTATATTACGGGTGTAGCACGAACAGGTCGGTTCGACCGGGGTAGGACCACGCTCTTACAAAATATATGCGTAAAATAGCAGCTTAATGATGCTGTTTTTCGTATAACGAGTGTAGGACCAAAGAATTCTCTTACATGAAACGAGGCATTCCATCGTATACCTTAGGGATTTGCATTTTAATTCTTAATCGAGAATAAATGTAGATGTCCATGGGCCACAGCATCTACTTACAATCAGATGGATGGTGTGCTCGTTTGTCACCACTATTCTATAAAAAAAAGGTTTTGACAGGAACTTGACCACTGGTGGTGGTGCTACTCCTGTTTCATCGTTCAATTAATAGTTTCAAGCGGATTTCAATACGTAAAAATGATGACATTTTGTGTATTAAGAACTATTAGTGGGAACAACAATGTTTATAACATTGTTGTTCCCACTAATAGTTACTAATAGGAAGCCACTAATAGTAAGCCTTAAGTTATATTGTTCGCTTAGACACCTTATGAACTTCAGATATTGTCGTCATCGACCTTCTGCTAGCATTATGATCGACCACAAGGTTATGCATATACATATTGTGGGGAATTTATTGAACAAATTCTTTAAAATGGAAATTACTTAATACTTGACATTGGCAAAAGTACGACCATACGAGTCCAATATGAAAGAAAGAAAAAAAAGTAGCAGTCCACTTGATAAGAAGTTATAACCCATAACAAAGTTTTCTTTAAAACGAAATAGCTAACAAGAATACGCAAGCGTAATAATAAGAATAAAAGTGACAATCGAGCACTCAATCTATCCAACGCTAGTATTCTGTTAAAGCATGGCCTTCCATAACATAACGTAGCTGCAACATAGCTCTACTACATTAAAATCCTTTTTTTTAACGTTAGGAATTTCTTCTATATCGTGGAGGCAGTTTACATACATAAATTGCACAAGTACAAAAGTCCAGACAATTTAAATAATATAATTTTCATAATAGAGATTAACATTAAATACCAGATCATTTGATTAAAATTTTACATAGAATCAGTGTGAGAGTATATTATTTCATAAAAAAAATTAGTAATTAAGTTAACTAACCTCGGAATTATTATATTTCAGACATCTAAAAATACCATTGAACTGATAAGCGTCTACTTTTCTGAATTCACTTAGAAACTTACTCTTGCAAGAAGTAAATAGATATCTACTAACCTTTCGTCGTTCCTTTTAGTTTCATTATCGTTTTCATTTTCTGTACAAAGGTTCAGCGAGCCGCGCTGCAGC